TGGACTGTGGGTTCTTCCAGAGGGGAAGGTCTCTGGGCTGTTCCCCCAACCCACATGGTGAATCTCTGAGGCAAGAAAATCCACCAATAAGTGCAGGACCCACCAAGATAGAGGAAGAAGTTTGTCACAGTTCTTACATAGTTTAAATCTCTTGATCACTTTCTGCTGGATGAACTCATCTTTGAAAAGGATGTTCAAACTGACATGAAGAATGTCTGATCATTTTTTGCTACTCTATGTGAGCTCAGAGCAGCAGAAAGGGAAGGTTCCCACTTGTTAAAGCTCCTACAAAAGAGTATTATAAAAGACAGATATTCATGACCACGTAAGCAAGTACAGTACTGATGAGCTCATATTGCTGCTTGACAATTCTTCTGTAACCTTTTGTAACAACAACCAGAAAGAAGTTGGATGCAACCAGCTTTCTCTCTTTTGACGTGATACAGCTGCAGTTGGAATATCTAAAGATTTTTTGTGGGAAAAAAATCAAAAGCTTATTTGAAAACTATGTGGGCACTTAGGTTAGTAGCTTTGTCCTGAAGTGCCTCTAAAGATGAAAATGACAGTAAAAGGTACATATAGCAACATTCCAGAAGCCCTATTTGATAGAGATTTAAGATATACATATAGGAAATGAAGAACTGGGTTCTCTCTAAAGAATGGTGTAGGCTCTGTCATCATTTTCGTGTGTGGGAGGGGGGACGACAAATAAAATAATTTAAAGGATAAGAGACCCCAAACTCCATCGGTTCAACAGAGCTCTGCTAAGGAAATCTGCATTCTATACAGTAAAATAAACACATAGAATTAAATTGGCAGTATTAACAATGTTGCTAAAAATATCTGCAGTAATCTGGTGAGAATTTTAAGTACTTAACCAGTTAGAGAATAAAAGAAATCAGTCTCTTTCTTCATAAAAAGAATAAGCCCAGTTGAGATAGAAAACAAATTATGCATGGGGCTAGCCACCTTATTTCAACGGTGTGGAAAAAAACTCCAACCATCCTGAACAGCCACAAAATGTCACTATGATCAGGAAAACACAGTTGCCATTGTAAGAGGGACTTCAGACTCCTAAAAGGTCCTGTTGGAAGACTCTGGAATTGCAAAGATTATAAAGTGAATTTTAAAAACATACAGCTTTCATTTCATAAACTGAGTTAGATCAAATTTACTGAGCCAAGTCCTAAATTTCTTCTATCTACAGTAATCTATCTAGGCAGTTATAGTGCTTAACTTGAGGAGTTCAGTATAAATTAAGGGAATTTTGCCTGAGTACAGATGGGATTCAGCTCACTGGGATGCAAATGGGACGGTTATGTCTCATGACACTATGCTGCATATTTGTAGAACCAGTGATAAGTCATCTTGAACGCTGAAGGTTTCTTCCTGCTTAAGAAAGAACCAGCAGCACTGTTGATGGGTTGGAACTCAGGTAATAAACACAGTGTTCATATGATTTGATTTGTGATATGGTCAAGAGTGTCCTTAAAAGCTGCTTATAAAATTAAGTTTTCTTCCACAGTGCATTGGTGGTGGCTGCATATCATGAGGTTGAGTACAAGCATTACAAGGACATCATTTTAGTGATATGACTAAATGACATGAATGTCAATTTTGCCACTAGCAGTATGAGAAAAAAGCCAATGAACATGCCTCATAATAAGAGAACTACACATAAAGACATTTGAATTCTGTAATGTGAAAATAAAGATCACAAGCTGCTGTGTATGCTGAAAAACAAGGAGACATAAAGGTACCTTCTAAAATACAAGATGTAGAAATGTTAATGGTAACACATAGCTAATGCTTCATAAAGAAATAAAATCCTTTTTGGGTTGTCATTTCTCTGGAGCTCAGGATGTCCCCTTTCAGTGTGGAGGCAACATGCACTTACTACTGAGCAGATGTATGACGTATGTGACTTAGCAGTATTATCCAGTTGGATCTAGCAATTGTTTAAACCATTTGGAAACAATAAAAGAGCACAATCGGGAACGGTGCTGTCTTATTTTCAAAAAAAGGCAGATTTTGGGAACATTCTGATGGCTGGCAATGTACCATATGCATCCTAACATCTTCTCTGAACAATCTCCATTTGTCCATATTTTCCTGTAAATAAAATGCTCAGAATTGAACATTATATTCTGGGTGTTCTACACTGGAGTCATACAGACCTTTCATTTCCTGGGCTGTTATTCTTTTATGTATGCAGCCTAAAACTGCATTGGCCTTTGTTGCTCTCATTTGACATTACAAACTATGTCCAACTTGCTGTCACTATCACCAATAAATTTCTCCTACTGAATATCTGCTTATCCAGATGTATTAGTTCAACCATGCAAAAAGTTACTCACTTGCCCGGGGTTAGTAATTTTTTGACAGGCAAGTTATCAACATTAAGATAGGCGAATATACTTTGTTCTTCTGTGTAGTAAATATACAGATTGTCTGCAGCCCTCCAATTCACAATCCTATAATATCTCTGAGGCAACTACATATATGTCTATCTGTCTTTTAATACCATTTAGCAGTTGGAAATAAGGGGGAAGGATCTAGCACCATGTGATCAACCAGCTCTCTGCAGACCACACAAAGTGCTCCACAGAACACAATTTAAGAAACTCTGACCTACAAGGCATGACTTACATACATGCCAGCTGACTTTTATATGTTCAAATTTTCCAAGTGTTCCTTTATGGTTCCCTGTTATTCTTTTTGCTTAGCATTAACACATCCTGGCCTCAAGTAAATAATACTTAAGCACAGTCAGAGTATCAACAGGTAATTTAGTAGCCTCAGCCAAACTCTCAGTGCTTTCTAGTTGCAGCTACCTATAGTAGGAGAATCAAAGTATGTGGGTGAAAGGGCTGCATAGCTACTGTCTCTGAACCTTCAATCTGTAAATACTTACACATAAGCAACTTTATACAAAAACACATGGTCCCACAGACTCTACCTTGCACAAGCTTAACTTGACGCATATAAGTAATTCCATTGGCTTCAACAGGCATAAAGTTAAGTGCATGCATAAGAATTTGCAAGATAAGGGCATAAGTGATCCCATAATTTCTTTTCTCAGTTCACAAGTGAAAAAATATATATTTTTCTAACTGCCAACCCAGCAACCTCAACCTGATATCTCAGTGGCTTAGTGTTTTCTGAGCAGGGCATCACCATCAGTCAGCCTGACCCAACTGAGGTGTATTATACTGTGATACTTGAAGCATACAAACTTATGTCCTACATTGAGGTAAAGATTCTGCCTCTGAAACTGTCACCAATTGCACTAATCCATGTAGCCAGCTATGGTAGGTAAGGTATAGGTCTGGATAGAGCTCTGCGCGGATACAAAAATGTGGATCTGCATCTGCCAGGATTAACCCGTGATCCGACCCACAATCTGCTAGCCAACTTTTACCTCTATCCGCATCTGCAAGCTGTCTCCAGGGCGGGTGGAGATGAGTGAGTGGGGGGGGGGGGGGGTTTCAGGGAAGAGGAAGCATGAGGGCAGGGACTGGGGGTAAGGGCCAGGGTCTCGAGTAGAAGGGGCCGTGAGGAGGGGCAAGCTAAGCTGCTGGATGGCATGCAGGTGCTGGACAGCCCCGATTCCAATCTGCCACCCAACCCCAGCCACTGGTTGCTGGCCGCCAGCCCAGAGCGCATTGCACCCCCCCGGGTTGCCCGAGCCGGATGCCACAGGACAGGTGCCGCTAGGGTGAGCAGATGTCCAAATTTTATAGGTACAGTCCTGATATTCGGGGCTTTTTCTTATATAGACACCTATTACCCCACACTCTGTCCTAATTTTTCATACTTGCTAGCTGGTCACCATGATGGCACTAAGTGCTGCCATGAGACATGGCGCCAGAGTTCAGCTGCTGCTGCTCAACATGTACTTGCCAGATATGGGGCCTGCCGCATCGGGGGACAGGAGGGCAGGACAGGGCCCAGGAGGCCCCAGGGCTCGGCTCAGATTCCCCACCCCCCGCATGAGTGGGCCTGCCTGAGAGGATGGGAACGGGCTCCCAAGTCTTCTTACCTGCTCCTGCTTATCCCCTGGCTCGTGGACTTTCATCCCTCCACTCCCTGAGCCGTCAGCCAGGCAGCCCGGCTCCTTGGTCTCTCCTTCATGGTCTCTCCATCCCCTGCCAGGCACTGACTCTCTCCCTTTCCCTCACTCTCCCTTCTCACCACTCCCAGCACAGGCAGCATACTTTTTATCCCTATTTAAAGTGCTCCGGGCTCTGTCGGAAATCAGATTACCTTTTCCTGGACGTATTTCTTGGCTTCATAGCCCCAGCGGGGGGGGAGGGGGAGGGAGAGGGAGGAGTGTTCGCCGCCACTGCCACGAAGGGGGCTCGGGACTGGGCTGCGCTTTATAAGTTGCCCACCAGGCGCTGGGAAGAGGCAAAGTGTCTTCAAAACGGTTTGGGACTTGGCCGGGTGCAGCTCAGCTTGGCTCGGCCCTGTGTGAACGCGTCTCTGTCTCTACTCCAGATCCATAGAGCCCTGTGAGGTTGTATCTGGATCCGCTCCACTATCCGCAAAAATGGTCCGTGGATATGAAGCAGATAGCCGTGTATTTGCAGGGCTCTAATTATTGCATTAAAGTAAAGACAAAAGGTTCAGGTTTTTCTAATTTCCTGGATAGCAGAGGATAGGTTAAAAGCAATTTATTGGAAATTCTTAAACCATTTATCAAATAAGAAGCCTACACTTACTACAGTGACCTTCATGTGGTTTAATTGGACTGTGCTAGGCTTTTAAAAGTAAACCTGGTACTGGATTCAAGGTTTTACTTCTGCATATCTTGATGTTTCTTCATTCATGATTTTTTAAAAAGGTTATGATCGTTCAGTATCACTAAACAGGTAAATTCTGAAGTGGTGGAGGAAAATGTTAAACCTAATCAAAAGAAAATTTAGTGGTTTTTTTTTTTTTTTTTTAGGTAGGGAACCAAAAAATTGTAACAGAAAGTACTGTGCTAGTGTCACAATAATCAAATATACTTAAATAATAGTTTTCTTAAAAAAAAAAAGTGTAGAGTGTAAACCAACAGAATAATACTTCATATACCATTAGCTTGTTGATATGGATACCTAATTGCAAAGTAAAAAAGAAAACACTGATGCACCAATAAATATTTCATTGCTAGTAGTTTGTTATATGTTGAGAAAAGATTATAGTTAAAACATGTGCATGTAAAACAAAATAAGTAACATCAGTTATATTTTTATATAAAAAGGACATTTATAGGATATTTAATATACACTTAAAATTTATATATTGAGATGTTTAGATGTTATCTGAATCTGTTATCCTTTAAAAACTATATCACAATTCTGTAAGAATATTTTATACTATTGCTACAGAAAACCAACTTACATAATCAGGATTTTCCTTCATACTGGCCCCAGTTCAGCTAGGTACTTAGGCATGTGGTTTGTTTTAGGCACATGAGTAATCCCATTGACTTCAAATGAATTATTAATGTGCTTAAAATTAGGGATATTCTTAAATACCTTGTTGAATTGGGGCCATTATCAGGAGGATTGTCACCACATTTAGTGCCTCCATATAATAATTTGAATGGATTTTCTTTCAATTATATATTACATTTACAAAATATTAAGAATAGTATTTCTATTACTATCATGGTAGCTGGAATGCAAATTGAATCCAGTGATATTTCTACAGCAACGGAAGTACATTGAATAACAGGAACACACATCTTTCCTGGAGATTGCGCAGTTTTTCCTTCACTATTGTTCAAGAAATGAAGATTAGTAATGCCATTTTTAGATTAGTAATGCCATGTAAACATTCAGCACATGATCGACCAGTGTATATACATCAGGGTAGGCTCAATTCTGCAAAACTTGGAGCGAGAGTTTCGCTATGAAGCCCTAATGATACAGGGTTCAATCCAGCAAAGTGTCCTCCACTTCCATTGACTTCACTGAGAGTTAAGGACACTCAGCGCCTTCCAAGATTCTGCCCTTATTATTTAAAATATTCTAAATTAAAAAAATCAGCCAAACATTGTTACATATGAGTTTTTCAAGAACTGTACATAATTGTGGATGCTGTGGTTCTGGTTTTCTGATTTTTGTAGATTGTGCTCTAATTCTTTCAAACATACTTCCTGATGTTTCTCTCTCTAAAGAAAAAGAGGGAAGAGGGATGCAAGTTAGAAATAAAATACAAAATAAAAATACAGTAAGACTAGTACTTCAAGTTTATAACTCTATCTGTCATTCCCTAAAATTTTAGTCAACTCCACACAAACACAAGACCTTCAAAATGACCCCAAAATCTTGAACCTATACATTATGTCTCCTGAGCACAAATTGATCTGTTTGAGTAACTTTATACTCTTAAAAAAGGACATGAGTCCTGGGATATCCTTCACAGCAACTGTCGAACATTTCGCATTTCCATCATTAAAGATTTGTGGCACCTTAATTCTAATACAAACTCAAAACTCTCATGCTTATTTTTTTAATGAGAACATCCGTTACTGATCTTTAATGCAGCCTGATTTTTGTTGCCTATGTTACCCTTTAAAATAAAGGGTGAATGATAACACTGTTTACTTATTAGATCCATATATGGTAATTTGTTACATAAAAATAGTAATTTTTTGGATTTTCTTTAATGCCTATCATAACACGATTTCAGATGTGAGTTACTTAAAATAAACAACATTTTTCTTAAATTTGTTAGTCATTTATAACATTTAGATTTAATTCTAACATTATATGAAATAATCAGGTTAAAGTGAACTAAAGAAAAAATTACCTTCTTGAGTCCTGCCCTGTTTCCAGCATCATGCTAACAGGAATAAAACAATATGATTTTTGTTTTTCCTCTCCATAATGTATTCCCAATTTTATGGATATGTAACTGGAGAAGGTGAATATGTTTTGTGTTTGTTCAGAATAACACTCCCCTCAGGCATAAGGTCCGGCTGATCGCGGCTCCCACTGGCCGCGGTTCGCTGCTCCAGGCCAATGGGAGCTGCTGGAAGTGGCGGCCAGTACGTCCCTCGGCCCGCGCCGCTTCCAGCAGCTCCCATTGGCCTGAAGCAGCGAACCGCGGCCAATGGAAGCTGCGATCGGCCGGGCCTGCGGACGCGGCAGGTAAACAAACCGGCCCGGCCCGCCAAAGGCTTTCCCTACACAAGCGGCATCCCAAGTTTGGGAAACACTGTTCTAGAGGAATAAAAATCATAAGCATTAAAATATATTGTTAAAAGAACAAGGGACAGATGATTCCCTGTCCCGGCATAATAAACAGATTTTACTTACAAAGAAATAACAAAAGTACCACAGAGACAACACAGTCTTGAAAAAAGCCAGTATTCTAAGAGTTTAATATGTGGCCAACTGGGAAATAGCTATACAGTGGAATCCTGATTAATTGGGACCGAGGCCAGAACGCATAATCAAAAATTTGGATAATCGGGAGAATGGGCGAGGCTCCAGCTGTCAGCCCCAGAAGCGGCAGGACTGACAACCCGAGCCCCGCTGCCCTGTTCAGTTAATATGGAGAGCCAGATAATGGAGGTGTGGATAAATGGGGGTCTATTGTATTGTTTTGTACGAATAACATACATGCCTCTATAAGTTGCTTATGATTAAGGCTACGATTTAGTCATGGATATTTTTAGTAAAAGTAATGGACAGGTCATGGGCCATAAACAAAAATTCACAGCCTATGACCTGTCCATGACCTTTACTATAAATACCCTTGACTAAATCCGAGCTGGGGGGCCCCAGGGTGCCGCTACTTTGGGGTGCCCCCAGGGAGCTGCTGCTCTAGGGGGTCCCTGGGGCATCACTGCTCTGGGGGGCCCCCGGAGCCAGCCCCACCAACTGCTGCTCAGGCCATCCGTGGGGCCAGTGGCACCAGCTACTGCTTGGGCAGTCCTCAGTGCCAGCAGCCGTGGGACGCCGAGCAGCAGCTGGTGCGGCTGGCTCCTGGACTGCCAAGCAGCAGCCGGTGTGGCTGACTGCGGGACTGCCCGAGCGGCAGGCTGCAGGGACACTCCAGCAGTGGCCGGTATGGCTGTCCTGGTGTTGCCTGAACAGCTGGCCCCAGCATGCTTGGGTGGCCCTGGGGTCAGCCACACTGGCTGCTGCAGAAGTCAGGGAGGTCGTGGAAAGTCACAGAATCTGTGACTTCTGCGACCTCCGTGACAGACATGCAGCCTTAGTTATGATAGATTCTTGTTATGGAGACATGGGTCTATTAAAGAAACAAAGCATGAAAAGTAAAAATAATGATCTAGATAAGTAGCATCTCAAACACTCCAACAACATCATCTGTGAATAGATGACTCCTTGTCCCCAACCCTTGTGACAAAGCTGTTTTGCCAAGACTAAGGGAAAGACCAAAGAGTATACAGGAACTCCTCACTTAACTTTGTAGTTATGTTCCTGAAAAATGCGACTTTAAGTGAAACGATGTTAAGTGAATCCAATTTCCCCATATGAATTAATCTAAATGAGGGGTTAGGTTCCAGGGAAATTTTTTTCACCAGACAAAAGACATATATATATACACATACACATACACACACACACACGCAGTATAAGTTTTAAACAAACAATTTAATACTGGTACACAGTGATGATGATTGTGAAGCTTGGTTGAAGTGGAGTCAGAGGGTGGGATATTTCCCAGGGAATGCCTTACTGCTAAATGAACTAGCAATTGACTGAGCCCTCAAGGGTTAACTCTCACAACAATCTACAAGGCAGCAGGAAAGGAGAGAAGGCACACACACCCTGTGTGTGTGAGAAAAAATGCGCATTTCCCCTTTAAGTAGCTGACCCCAGGCTTAAGTACACTGCCTTGCTAATTAAATCAGCTTGCTGAGACCTGAGATGGCAGCTACTGCCGAGAAGCTCCCTCCCTCCGTCGTGTCCCCCCCACTCTACGGAAGATGGAGTAAGCGGGGTGCAGGAGCAGGGGGGAGGGGGAGACACCCTGACATTAGCCCCCTTCTTCCCCTCCTCCCCCTAGCGTGACCAGACGTCCCGATAAAATCGGGACTGTCCCGATATTTAGGTGTTTGTCCCAAAGATCAGTCGGGACGCAATTTGTCCCGATATTTCGCTCCGTCGGCAGCATTCGGGCACTCGGTTTTTTATTTATTTTTTGCTCCGTCGGCAGCACTTGGCTTTTTTTTTTTTTCCCCCCCCCCCCCCGCTCCGAACCCCGCCCCCCCCCCCCCCCCCGTGTGTCCCGATATTTTCTTCCTCTCATCTGGTCACCCTACCTCCCCCTCATACAGCAAGCAGGAGTCTCTGGGAGCAGCTCCAAGGCAGAGGACAGAAGCAGCACATGGCAGTGGGGGAAGAGACAGCTGCTGCACAGGGAATTTAGGGAAGTGGGGAGCTAATAGGGGGGCTGCTGGTCCACCCTGGTTCCAACCACCCACCAGCTAGCTGCAACGGGCTGCTCTTCCTGCAAACAGCGGACAAAACAGGCGGCTGCCAAACGACATTAGAAGGGAGAATTTCACAACTTTAAACGAGCATGTTCCCTAATTGATCAGCAACTTAACATTGAAACAACCTTAACCAGGATGACGTTAGGTGAGGAGTTCCTATACTAAACTCTTACAGATGCTAGCCTACAAAAAGGGAGGGGTACTGTAATGGGGTTCACACTGCATCCCTCCGGATTCAGCCTCTTGGCCCCTCACCTCCGTGAATCAGGGACACTTCTGTCTGGTGCAACAGCCGTGTTCTTTATTCATGACCAGTTTCCCACCACCAGTTTCCAGCTATATACAGGTTTTACAGCTGCTTGGCCTACCACAGGCCTTGACGGCAACAGACTAGGAGGCTTCTACTCCAGCTGAGCCTGACCTCCCACTCTTAGTCTCCAGCCCCACACCCCTTTTCTCACTTCCTTCCAGCCTTATAGCTCCTGCTAATGAGGCTGGCAGGTGTGGTCAGTTATCAGGCAAACATAGGGCGGTTCACCCTGACCCAGCCCCAATACATTCTCCCTGATTGGGGCTGGAGCAGTAGGAACTGATTAAGGGCTTCTGTAGCAGCACCCTGCCACAGGTAGAAAAGGGTGTCAGCAGACTGAGGCTGACACCAAGATGGATGCCAAGAGACAGAGATGTTGTGTAGGGTAGGCTGCCTCTCCCTGCCACAGATGGAGTTAGCTGGGCTGATGAGTACTTATACCTTAAACTTTCCTTGGTAGCCTTTGTAAGTAAGATTCATGCGTGCAGGTCTTTTATTGTTTCTACCCTGTATTCTAAAGTGCTTTGTACTTTTGAGGAACAAACAAATAATGCTTCATTTGGAAGACACTTTCTGTGTCACTGCAAACTTGCATTGCTACAGACCACTGAAGGAAACCTCTTATAGGTACCAAAAGCGAGTTGGGCCTGTGTCATTACTATGCTTGGTAAAAAGGGACTGCAGCCCAGAGATCCAGTTTAAGAGTTGTTGGACCGAGTGCTTCTACTCAAGCGAGGCACAGAAAGACAGACCTGTCAGCTAAAGGGTGTATTTGAGAGGAACTAAAAGAAGTCCAAGGCGCAGCTTGCCCTGTAGCCATGACAGGATTAGCAGCTTCCATAGAAAAATCTTAATCTCTCAAGAATCCAGCACCTCAAAGAGCGATCATAAACCAGCGAAGAGTCAACATTACTCCTGGGGGGAATTCTGCGCCACTGTGCATGCACAGAATTCACGTACCCAACAGATTTCTTTGCTTCCGCACAGAAAAATGACTTCTCATGGGGAAGCCGCCAGAACAGTCATGCGCTTCTCCCCAGCAGCCCGGGTGTGTCGTTTTGGGTACCTGGAGCAGCTGGCGGAGAGGTAAATCGCTGCTGGGAGGGGGCATTTGGGGATCTACTGGCCATTGGCTCCTACTGGAGCTGGGCTCAGCTGCTAGCCCTGGCTGGGCTGGGCCAGGGGAGGATGGGACTTACTTTCCCTCCAAGGAGCAGCCATGTCTGGGTCAGACTAGGAACCTCCCCCAGCTGCAGGAAGCTCCACCCTCTGGCTTCCTGCCCCCATCACTCCTCAGCTGTGGGGGGAGAGGTGATCATACGGGGAACTGCTCCCCCATCCACCCAACCCCCATGCATCCAGACCCTCCCATACGCAGATTTCCCTGCCAAGCCCCACCCCTTCTCTACCTGGCTCACCTGCCGAGCCCCTCTTTCCTGCCTCTGGACTCCCACCTCTGCACCCAGATCTCTCCCCCCCCACTGAGACCCCCGCACTTGAACCCCACCTTGATGAGCCCCACCCCCCAAAACCTGGATCCCTCTGCTCAGCCCCTCACCAAGCTGCCACACCCAGATTATCCCACATCTAACCCTCTGACACCACATCTGGATCCCCCCCCCACTAAACCCCCTCCAAACTTGGATCCTGCCAGGCTGAGCCTGCTGGCCTCACACATGGATTGGGAGCCAGGGCTGAGCGTGCATGCGAGACTCTGTCCCTCTCTCTTGCTATCTTGGTGTGTATGGTGTGGAGGGGCAGGGCCCTGGGGTGTTTCTGGGGCAGGCCAGGCCCTTGCGCTGTGTCAGGATCAGGTGCAGCCTCACTGCTGAGTCTGTGTCCTGGGTGGGGGGGAAGCTGCAGGGTGATCTCCCACCTCCATGCAGCCAGTGGCCTGTATCTTCCGCTGCCATGCTGGAGCCTCCACATTTATTTATTGAAAAATAAAATATGCAGGTTTTTCAGAATTACAACATAAAATTGGAATCAGAACTCAGGAGTTTCTACTTTGGAGTAACAGTAAAAACTGTTGTGCAACCTAGACGCTCATGAAAACTGTTAAAATACAGTGGTACATATTGCACGCTAGGCTGATGTGGAGGGACACTTGTTATTGACAACCCCACAGGTAAGTTATCTTACTCATTTAAAAACCATATAGACTCCACCCCCGCCCCCCAAGTTGACCGTTTTAACTGTTGGTACAGTCACACACTGCTAGACTTCTTTATAATAGTTGCCCAGAGAAACATGACAAATTGGAAAGATGTATCAAAAATATTAAAAAAAAAAATCAATAATAAAATCAACTGACTACACAAGGTTGAACAGGGAGCAGCTAAAAAAGCCAACTTCATTCTCTGTCTCAAACTTGGAAAACTCTAATAGATTTCACAGAAACATCCAAAGTAGAACAAGAAACTAAATTCTCCCTGCAATATTGCTTATCTTGGTCAGTGATGTGCCTTATCATTCTTATTGTATCATTTCTATCCATGGTAAATTGTTTTTATTTTATTATAATTAAAGACACATCAAAACAATTCTGTGATAATGGGGAGACGTAGGCCATCAGTTTTGGGCTTTTTTCCCCGAGCTTCTAGAGGGTTTAAAAAACTTCCTGTGAATCTTAAACCAGAGTTCATGCTAGAAGGAGAAAAAGGCCAGTTCAGAATGTAAGAAGGATCGCTGGCTCTAGGTGACCAGAGTTCCTTTTGACCATATGCCACCTTCAATTTAGCTGGAATTCATCTCTCCCCCCCTCCCCCCCCCAAAATAGTCTGAGGATTTATGTAATATTCATCCATCTCATGAAGGATGAGAGAAAAATGAAATTTTGTGTTTTTTTTAAATTAAGGGGGGAAATGTTTGTTACCTTTGTGGTGTTTATGTGGCTGTTGGCTGAAAATACCATTTTACAGCACTGCAGGGCCAGAATCAGGCCCCCGGTCTCTGAAACTTTATGTATCTCTTTGAGTACTGTTGTCTCTAGCCTGATGCCATGAAATCAAGGGCCAACATTTTTTATTTGGATACCTAAAGTTAAGCACCCGGGATGCAATTTTCGAAGAGTAGAGGATTTAGACATGCCTTCCATTAACAATAATGGAAAATGTGTTGAAATCCCCAAGATTGCTTTGAAAATCTCCACCTAAATTCATACTTTGGCACTTAGGTAGCTAGTCTGATTTTCAAAAGGTGCCAAGTCCACAATATCTTCTTGAAATGGGACCCTGCTGATAGGGTAAGTACCAATGTGCCACACCTAGGATTTGCAAGTTCTTGAAACCTTTGAAAATCAGGGCACTTATTTAGATTCCTGTATAAGGCTATGGGTGCCTAACTTTAAGCACTCATGTTTGAAAATATTCGCATAGATTCTTGGTAAGATCAGATCCTTTTACCAGCTCAGAAATCCATTTATCCACTTCACTAAGTAGGTCACCTGCTAACAATTTGTGTCTGGGTCAGGGCTGGCTCCAGGCACCAGCTTACCAAGCAGGTGCTTGGGGCGGCCACTTCGGAGAGGGGCGGCACGTCCAGCTGTTTGGCGGCAATTCGGTGGACGGTCCCTCACTCCTGCTCGGAGCGAAGGACCTCCTGCTGAATTGCCGCCGCAGATCGCGATTGCAGCTTTTTTGTTTGTTTGGCTGCTTGGGGCGGCCAAACCCTGGAGCCGGCCTGGTCTGGGTGAGCCTTTAGAATAAGGAGCAGCCCCAAAGGAGGTTACTAAAGGGTCTTAGCAGAGTAGACAATCCTGCACTAATGTAGGAAGATGGATTAGCTATCCTGGAGATCTTTTCCTAACCTGTCATCTATAATACTGTGCACAAAATATGCATCCGAAGAAGTGGGTTGTAGCCCACGAAAGCTTATGCTCTAATAAATTTGTTAGTCTCTAAGGTGCCACAAGTACTCCTGTTCTTCTTGCGGATACAGACTAACACGGCTGCTACTCTGAAACAAAATATGCAGTCTTTCTGATAGTTTTATGCTTAACTGAATTATGTGAACTGACTCTGTGCCCCAAATTATGTACAAATTCATTTAGAAATATATTCATCCATTTAAAACACTTTAGTGTATGTAGTGATTAAATTAACTAAGCAGTTTATGATCAGTGTCAGTAAAGTGATAGATTCTTACATTGTTTAATTTGCAGACAAGTCGCTTTTGCTCCTCTCGTCTCTCTCTCAATTCGGTTTCCAGAGTCAATATTTTTGTCTGAAGAGCTCTCTCCTTGGATGACATTTTTTCCACCTCTTCAGACTCCTGTGATGGTAATGAAGGAAGAAAAAGCTATTTAATTACATATAGACCTGCATTTGAAGCCCAAAACAACAAATAATTATTTTAAACTATTTTATGCTACACTTGATCGTCTCTTCCATATTTGCTGATTATAATCCTCCCTCTATTCCCCATCAATTATCTTGAGCACACGTGGAATACATTCTGATTTAAAATGAAATAAGCTGTCTCATAGGAAAATACTGTAGGAATGATTAATGAGGGGGAAAAAGTCTGACTCATCTGTGAATCTGTCCTGAACTGAGACTTATTCAGAATCCATCAGTATTACTAGAATATGAGAACAATCCTACAATTGTACGTTCTACTTCACTTATAGTTAATTTAATGGGAACATTATCACTTCAGCTATATATTTTTCTGATTGTACTGCAATAGTTACTTGTGACGTAAATTCCTACAATTCTTCGCCTATTTGTTTTATTGCTTGAAATATTTTCTGTTCATGACCACACAAAACCTTGTACATTTTGAGTGTGGAAAGCCCTCTTCTGATATTAGAAAGGCTCAATATCAAAGTCCTAGTGGGCTGCCCATTCAAAAGGGAAATGAAAAAAAGACAAGCTGAAGCTTTTGATCAGAAACTCTGTCACTTCTGCACATTTAAATATTGGGTGGTTGATGCTCTTCATGTTGTTTGAAGGAAAGAATTCCTTTGTATAAAGATGAAGGACAAAATCCCGGCCCCATTGAAGTCAATGGGAGTTTTGCCATCAGCTTCAATAGGGCTAGGAAATCCAAAGTTCTTTGTATTTATTCAGGCAAAACTCCCATTGACCTATTTTTCCACATTGCCCCCTATTATGGAATGATCTACCTTTCTTGATTTGTCTGGCCATCACACCTCCTCAAGCCCTTTGTTCTTTTCCAGAGTTTTCTTTATTTGAAAATGGGAAAAACTGCAATCAAATTCAGAAACATATTACACCATATATACCTTTTTTCTGCCTTCTTCCAAAGCAGCCTCCAACTGTCTGGCTAAAGCATCATATTCTGCTAATTTCTCTTTAAGCTGCAATTCACTGTGCTGAAGACTCTCCTCTTGGTTTGCCAGCTGATGTGCAAGTTCTTCATTTTGTACTTCCATCTTTTCTAACTGTCTTTATGCAAAACAGATACACACATGAAATTTGATTATGAGGAGAAAAATGTAAAAGTGAGTACTAGTCAGATATCACATTTACCTTTTAAGATATTTATATTTCTTCTGAATGTTATAGTTTTCCTCTTCCAAAGAATGGTTTCTCAAGAACCTGTTGTTGTCATCCATCTGTGAAAATGATGTTTCCATTCTATTTAATGGAGATTTGCACAGGGCATTATAAGCCAAATCAAGCTTGCCTTATTCAAGCTATCCTATTAAAATCAGTGCGCCTACTTCATCACCATGGCAAGCAGTATTTGGCCTATATTTGAAGCAAATAAAATACAACTATAGTAGCAGACTATATTGTAAGCTAAAGACTTGTTAAGGCATGAACTTAGGGCTGGCTTACCCCTGCAACCTAATGCATTTAGTTGGACAGGTTTAAATTCGTGCAAAATCTGGCTCATAAAGCTTTTTTTCCTCCATTTTAAAATTATTTTGTCCTCGCAGTATATAAAAAGTGCTCGGAAGCTTGATAATGATATTTGTTTCCTTACCATTTTCCTACATGTACAATTGTTGTTATGCAGGAGCAGCTTAGGAGTGCTGTCTGATGGATTTCATTAAAGCACCAAAGCATTTATTTTGAAAAGAGCAATAAACTTTGCAAAGATATATACTAGACTTTAACTATATATATTAGACTATAGCTAGATATAATAGAAGAAAAATACTGATTATTTGAATTTAAATGTCTTGTCGACAAATTAGTGATCAGATTCTGATCTCAGGTACACAGTGAAAACCTTGAGAAACATCACTGACATTAGAGTTCCTCTGTATTTAGGCATCAATTCAGGACAGTCTCCCTCTTCAAGAAAGCACGCAAGCATTAGATTAACTTTAAGTACATACTTATTCTCAATGAAATTAATGGAACTTACTTAAAATTAAACACGTGATTAAGTGCTTTCCTGAATTGAGGCCTTGGACAGGTTTAAGTGAGAGCAGAATCTGGTCCTGTAGCTATAAAGATGACCTTTCCAAGAAATTTAACATAAAATCCAGAGCTTGTATTTTTATACGGATCATAAAAATAGCACATGGGACCTCTTTCTGTTTCTAATGACGTCATTGGAAGTTTTGCCACTGACTACCTGTCAATAAGTTTTAGAAGACTCTTTCTGGTTTTCCCCATTAATTCAAACACTTCCCAGAGCTCTGCTGTCACAGATTATTCTGGTCCACAAAAAAGATATATGGTCTGTCACATAAACTTAAGTTTAAAATAAAAAACTGTAAGTTGTTTTTCTCTCAGTGTTCAGAATCAAAATCTTTGAAAAATGAAATGAATATAAAAACAGGAGGAAAAACACATTCAGGCCCTTAAGAGGTACTACAAACAGTGATTAAAAAACTCTAAAAATTACTTGAAATTATCTTTTTTAGAAGTCTGAAGTGTCCTTTTTAGTATATTTATATGTAAAATACAATGTAACTTGTAAAATAGAAAGGATATAATTTACTGCTTTGAAAGTTTGATTTGTAGCCATTTCCCTGAACAAGTATTGCCCAGCTTATAAATTAGGCATTACAATATCATTTTTTAAAAAAATGCAATATTTCCATTACATGAAAAAAATCCAGAGATTGAAATTACTCTATTAGATATAACTGTGTCCTTTAGAACTGTACAGTACATTAACAAAGAAAACTTTCTGGGATTCACATTTAACATATCTAATTATTCAAAAGGGAAGAGGTCTTTCTTATTAGAAAGCTCTAAAATCTAAACGCAAAAATAAATAAGAATTTTCAGTTAGGTACTGAAGCTGCAATTTCATCTCTCTAAACGTACAAAAAAATGCAGGCAGAACATATCACAAAGAGCATCACAATCACTGCAGAAGGAACTTTTGTTCTATTAAGCAAGTATGTGGATGAGAGAACATTGACATGGGTTCCCTCAGATTGCAAAACTACTCCCAAGACTTTCTTCCACATAGTTTAGATACTTTACTATTAAATGGTTATGCTCTAAGCACCTGAACCTGTAGCTCCCTAATGGTTTTGGATTTGTCTGCATAACTCCTTTTATAGGACAACAGATTTTCCTGATACTCCTGCAGCCTCTCTTCAGCTACTTTCAGTAAGTCACGAACATGTTCTAACTCCTTCAGTTGAGCCTGTATCTGGCTCCTCACCTGCACGGTAGCATTAAGGGAAAACAGGTAGGTACAAAACCATAAATTAATTGTTAAAAAATTTCAAAAGCTTTCCATATGGTAACATACATAATACATCTAAAATTCTACACACATTTTTGCATAATGTTATTCCTCCAATGAAAAATAGAATGAACATTATGGCACAAACTCATCCCCCCAGCCCTATATTTTAGTTAGGGCTCAGTGAAACTGGAAATGTAATGAAATGTTTATGAAAAGTAATGTGAACATTTTCAACAAGCTATTGTATGTGTACTGCACTCCTAAAATGCTGATTTATTGGGACATTGTGTAACAGAATATTTTTCACAGTGAGGCATGTGAAAGCTCTAAAAGCTTTTTAGATGAGACATTCTGAACATGAGGATTATAGTGTAATTTTGGAAGGCAGTGGCAAGTGCCCTCCTCAGCCCCAACAGCTACATACAACACTTTTCAAACCTTGTTTAGTTATGAGATGGGCAAATACCATATCCCCATTTTACAGATGAAGGTTGGAACAGTATGTGACTTGCTGAAGGTCACACAGTGGGTTCGTTTCAGCACCAGAATAAAAACCTAGGACTTCTCACTGTGAGACTCAGGCCTAATCTTTAAAACCATGGTGCCCTATAGGCGAACCAACACCTGTCTGTGTCTCAGTTTAAAAAAAAAAAAAAAAAAAAAAGGGCAACAATATTTACCATAAGGGAAATCCACAAACATATAGCAATTAAGTTATATGCAGTCACAGTTAATCAGGTAAAGGATTATCCCAATTTTACTAATTCAGAAACTGAAGCACATGCTTCATGCTCTACCAAGCATGGCTAACAATGAACCAGGGAAGAGTCACGGGGAGCCAGGAAGCAGAGTGAAGAAGCATTGCCTCTGTATAGATACCAGAGAGCTATGTAGAATCATAGGACTGGAAAGGACCTTGAGAGGTCATCTAGTCCAGTCCCCTGCACAACCATAGTATTTGCATAGTTGGGAATGTTGCTCCCCACAAAAGGAAGAATTTGTAGGATGCTTAGCAAAGCAAACCGTACAGTAATTTCCTTCTTCCCTGTCCAGCTTCCACAGCTTTTCTTGAGGGTGGGGGTAAACTAGGCCACTGATTGGTATTTAAAAAGCAAACAAACAAATCAGTCAATCTGAACATTCTATGGTGGGTTCACAAATTGTTATAGTGTGAACCACACCTTAATTGAGAGTATCTTATGGACCACCTCCTACCTAGTCACTGTCCTGGGAATGACTGCCGCTTCTGCTCTGCAATTCTCACTCTGTGGTGATTACAGCAATTGCTTACAGGGAAAAGTAATGTTAGTGAAGTATTTAATGTATTTTTGGCATTGTTTTATGCAATTTAGTACCTGGAAAACAAGAAAGCCACCACCTTACAACCACCAGCAAGTGGTTCCCAGGCCAATCTGAGGTTCACTGTTCTACAAAATACCATGAAACCATGTTATACTGTTTGTTAAAATGGACTACTTACCTCACTTATCTCTAAATCTTTGGCTTCTGTTATTATTTTGTTTTCATTTAACACTTTTTTGTATCTGGCTTTCAGTTCTTCTGCTTCTGTTTGTAATTTTTGTACCTAGGATACAATATATTTTACATATATTTGCAAATGCTACTCCATCATTCCTTAAAGCTGGAAGCATTTATGTCAAGCAACAGCCTTTCATTTCCCCAAATGGTACTTTGTCATTGCCTATACTTACTTATTCATTTTCTCTATCCTCATAATTGCCTTCACAACTGAGTAGGCTGCAGAAACACTGAATACCACCCAAGCTGCTGAGCAACTGGGAGACTGCTCCCTATTCCAAGCCATGTATTGTACTCGTATTTTGACTTTGTTGCCCCCAAACTTATATCTTTGCAGCGGCATAAACTGTGACTTGGCACTATTTGACTATTATCTGACTCATTTACTCGAACCCCCTTGCATCACTCCCTAATCGCAACAACTGCAGTTTTCCTTCCTTGCCGTGCGACACCGGGTCAACCTGATGAAGTCAGCCAAATGTGTAAACGGCAAATGTAGTCTTCTGGGACTCAAACAAGACCAAATTACTTTTCAGATGAGGTTCCTATGTATTAATTCAACATTGTAGTTATTTTTTTCAGAGGCAAACTTTTCTGTCCTGCAATTAAAACTCATCTAACAAAGCTCAAATAGCATTAACATATTCATGTTAAGACACTTAGGCTAGGTCTACACTGGGGGCGGGGGGGTCGACCTAAGATACGCAACTTCAGCTACGCGAATAGCGTAGCATTCGCGTAGCTGAAGTCGGCGTATGTTAGGTCGATTTACCTGGCCGTGAGGACGGCGGCGAGTCGACCGCTGCCGCTCCCCCATCGACTCCGCTTCCGCCTCTCGCTGCGGTGGAGTTCAGGAGTTGACGGCAGAGAGATCAGGGATCAATTTTATCGTGTCTACACTAGACGCAATAAATTGATCCCCGATAGATCGATCACTACCCGCCGATCCGGCGGGTAGTGTAGACGTACCCACAGACTTTAATCAAAAGCCTCTGTGCTTATCATGAAAAAAACCCCACAATCTTTGAAACAATTCACTTGAATTTACACAGCACTTGAGGCTCACTGCACTTTAAAGTTACTTTTTTCATACAGTAAATAAAAGGAAACAAGTGGTTAATTAATATGATTTGTGAGCACCTATATCTTCCATTTCAAAGGCTTTGTTATGGCCAAAGGCCATATGCAAAAAGTTATAAAGACATAAATATGAATATATCTAGCCATTTCAAGAGATCATACTTCCATGTCTCCAAATTTCAAAAATTCTCATCACTTTAAGATACATGGAGTCAAATTCATCCTTGGTGTAATGAATGTTGCCAGTTATTCATTAAGGGCCTGATGCAACTCCCATTGGCGTCACTGGACAGGCTCCTATTGATTTCAGTGGGAGTTGGACTGATTCTAAAGGGCCAAGGCCAACATTTTCAAAATTGTGTGCATAAATTTAGGCTCCTAAACACATTTTTTGGCACCTAAATGTCTGGTGTGGCTTTCTAAGGTGAAGAGGACCCAGAAGCTCCTGCTGAAGTCAATGGACCACCACCTTTAAAATGACCAAATTGTACCCCCTTTTAGTTAGATAGCAGTAACTGAATTTTTATTTCTCATGGGGATAAAAATATTCAACATTAATTTACCATAATTTAGATTTGGTGCGATGAGATCTTATTGCAGACTGGAAAATTCTGTCTGTGAAAAAAGTGCTGTACTGTTTAAAATGTTTGTAATAGATTTAACAGAGAGAAATACTACTTCAGTTCAAAAGAGCTTTTACACTGCAGAATACTTAAAGGTAAACCCATTCTTCTTACATGTGTTTCACAGGTTTTCCATGCCTCCAACTTCTGTTACTTATCAAAAATATATGTGCTTTAACAAGGAATTTCCCCCTTTGTATTCCAATCTCTCCTCTATCTTTGTAGTGAAATCAAAATTACATCAATCATTTCCACTGTAACAAATTCCTATGATAAAGAGCAAAATTATGGCTTCACTGCAACAGCAAGTAAGTGGAGAAGCTGGGCTGAGAGGGAGAAAGTTATTTTTTTGAAACAAACGTAATCAAGAGAAGCAGTGAGGAAACTAAGTTCCTGGCATCAGGAAATGATATTTGTATTGTTTTCTTTTTTCAAATTTGCTGCAGTGTGACAGACCCCGCTTCACAGCAAATATTTTGAAAGGACAACTCTGAATATAAAATGCCAAATTAACTGGTAATATAATGGCTCATTATCCACCATGGAGAACGAGCTGCAGCTGTTGTGTGGGGGCAGCTGATTGTCCAATCCCCTCCCTCTCAAAACAGTGGGTGTCAGCTAATGGCAGCCTATTTCTGAAGGTAGCCCAGCCATTAGTTTGGACCCTAATAACTACTTAAGGCTGGATGTGAGGAACTACCTCTTGTCTCTTACAGCAGGCTAAAAGTTTTATTGTAGCTCTTTGCTCCATAGGCTAGGCCCGTTGGCAGGGTTTAGAGTTTGTAATAAAACTGTTGCCTGGTCAGTAATTTCAAAATACGATGAGTCAGGGATGTCAATCAAGTGTGTCCTTACACTATCGCTGAATTCTATACAACATCTGATTCATCACGCTAAAATTTCCTCTCTGTAAACAAAGGCACATACTACAAAGGAATTGCTAAGGAACTTAAAACAGATTTGTAAAATATGGGCTTTACTGGTATTTCCCTAGCACTGAGACAAAATATCCATATGCCATATAAACAGACTGCCAAAACATTACTCTAGTGCTACCTCACTAGTCCCTGGACTGTTACCAGATGTCCTGGTCTGTGGGGATCTTTTTTCAGATGATGAGCTTTGAGAGGTTGTTTGGAGGCCAGAAGAGGGAGTTCAGGAAAGATTTATTTCAGGATGGGGTCCTCATCAAGTAAGGGTTGTAGTAGTTTGATGATACTATGTATGGGTTCCAGTGTGGGGTGGTTGGTGACAACTAAGGGTGTGCAATTGGAATGGGTTTTATTTCTGTACTGAAGCAGGTTCTCTCCAGGTATTTGGGTGGTCCATTCCATGATGCGATCTACTTCTCAGGTGAAGTGTCCTTGTTTGGTGAAGGTGGTTTTGAGTGTTTTACGGTATGTATCCTGGACTTTCTCCTTGGAGCATATTCTGTGGTATCTGAGTGCCTGGCTTTAAATAACAGATTTCTTGGTGTGTTTGGGGTGATTAATGGATCTATGAAGGAAAGTGTAGTGATCCGTGGGTTTCTTGTATATAATTGTCTCTAGGGTTCCATTGTTGAAGCTGATCATTGTGTCCAGGAAGTTGATGCTAGCATCAGAGTGTTCCAGAGAGAGTTTAATGGGTGGGTGGTGCTTGTTGAAGTCATGGTGGAAATCTATGAGGGAACTTAAGTCATCTGAAATATCATTGATGTATCTCAGGTATATCATTGGTTTCATGGTGCATTTGTCCAAAAAAATTTCTTCAAGGTATTATCTGTTATCTATAGCCAGGTACTCAGATACCATTGACTATGCTCCAAGGAGAAAGTCCGGGATACACACGTTAAATCACTCAAAACCACCTTCATTAAACAAGTACACTCCACCAGAGAAGTAGATCACATCATGGAACAGGCCACCCAAATACCCTGAGAGAACCTGCTTCAATGCAGAAATACACCCCCCTCTGACAGCACACCCCTACTTGTCACCTACCACCCCATACTGGAACCCATAAAGGGTATCATCAAACAACTATAATCCATACTCGAGGGGGACCCTACACATGCTTATCACAACATGTGGTGTACCTCATCCAGTACACTAAATGCCCCAGTAACAACTGTGTGGGTGAAACCAGAAGATCACTACAGTCTCGAATGAACTCACACAGGAAAATGATAAAAGACAAAAACACCATATCACCTCTGAGTGAACACTATATCTGACCTATCAGTCCTCATCCTCAAAGGAAACCTGCACAACAACACTTTCAAAAGGAGAGCCTAGGAACTTAGTCATAACTTTGCTAGACACTATAGCCTTGTCTTCACTACAAAGTTTTGTCAGCAAAAGCTGCATTTTGCCGACAAAACAGGGGAGGTGTACACACTACAGAGCTACTTTTGGCAGCAAAACACTGCTGTTTTGCCAACAAAATAAAACCACCTCGACGAGAGGCATAAAGCTTTTTGCAGCAAAGTTAAAGCGACAAAGCGTCAGGTCAGTGTAGACGCTGCTGTTTGCTTTGTCAACATAGTTGGCTTCCAACAGTATCCTACAATGCATGCAGTGACCACTCTGCTCACTGTTTTGATCTCTTCTGCCCCTTTCAAAGCTCCAGGACAGCTGAACATGCTGCTCTGCTCTGCTCTGGGAACAAAGAGCAAATCATTAACTTGGAATGCTCCTGTTCTGCCCTGCACTAGGAACACAGCAGCAGGCAGACTGCTGCTGCAGGGAGTGGAGTGGTGGGTGGGTGGGGACTGCTGTGCTGCTTTGACATTCCTTAGCATGGAGAGCTCAGAGCTGCTCAGGATGCCACCCCCGGCAGCTGAGGAGGCTGTGGGAGAACTCGGAGGGAATCACAGAACCATAGGCAGGCAGGCAGAGCGGGCTGCTTCGGGAGAGACTGCTGTGCCGAGCAGGGCCAGGGACGGACATGGAGGGGCATGTCCCCCTCCCCTGCCTCAGGATAGGTCGGTTGGCCTGCTGTCTCCCCCGCCCTGGACACACCACTCTCCTGTCTCTCCCCCCACCACTTCAGTTGAAAAGCATCTGATAATCTGCTAGGATGCCCATGGAAAGATGGGATTGAGAAACCTGCATCATGTGCCACTGTACCTGCCCCATGAGGCATTGCAAACCCTTTCAAAAGCATCCTGCGGCCAGTTGCACATTGGGATAGCTACCACAGTGGCCTCCTCTCTGTATCATGCAACTGCTGATAGTGTGGATGCACTCTGTCAACACAAGAAGCATAGTGTGGACATGCAACAGTGGTTTTAATTAAAGCAGCTTAACTCAGTGGCTTGAGCATTGGCCTGCTAAACCCAGGGCTATGAGTTCAATCCTTGAGGGAGCCACTTAGGGATTTGGGGCAAAATCAGTACTTGGTCCTGCTAGTGAAGGCAGGGGGCTGGACTCAATGACTTTTCAGGGTCCCTTCCAGTTCTGAGATAGGTATATCTCCATTTTTTTTTATTATTATTTTATAACTTTTGCTGACAAAACTTTGTAGTGTAGAAAAGGCCTAAGAATCATGATCTTAGTAAAGACAACAATCTGTAACCCACTAAACCCCCCTCCCCCGCTTTTTGTACTATGACTACAGGGATGCTAATAGGGCACTTCACCTTCAATGGTCCCTTAGAATATGTGCTAACTACTTATGCTAAACTGTTCAACCTCATATTTAGCTGTGACACTCTGAGGGCTTGGCTACACTTGCAGATGTAGAGCACTGTGAGTTAAACCCGCCTTCGGAGAGCGCAGTAGGGAAAGCGCTGCAGTCTGTCCACACTGACAACTGCTTGCGCACTGGCGTGGCCTCATTTGCGGCACTTGCAGCGGCATTGGGAGCGGTGCATAATGGGCAGCTATCCTGGCATGCAAGTGACTGCAACGTGCTTTTCAAATGGGGGGGGAGGGGGGAGATGGTGTGGTGTGTGACAGGGAGTGTGTTGTGTGTATGTGGGGGGAGAGAGAGTGGGTTTTTGGGGGGCTGAGAGCATGTCAGCATGCTGTCTTGTACGTTCAGACAGCAGCAGGCCCCCCCTCCCCCCCGCCTCTCTCTCTCACGCACAGCATTCCACACTAATCTGTCTCAGAGCATACTTATCTGTCTCGGAGCAGATAAGCAGAAGTCTGTCAGAAACGGAGCTTTCAAACAGCATATCCGAATTCCTACAGCGAGTTCAAAACAATGACAAGAGTGGCCACTTGACTTAAGGGGATTATGGGACGTTTCCGGAGGCTGATCAGAGCGCAGTAATGCAACAACTCATCCACACTGGCACCGCGGCGCTCCAGCGGGGGCGCAGCAAACGTATTCCACTTGCCGAGGTGGAGTACCAGCAGCGCTGTAGCCGCGGAGTCAGAGCGCTTTACGTGCCTTGCCAGTGTGGACAGGTAGTGAGCTAGTGCACCCGGTGCTCCTTTATTGCGCTGTAACTCGCAAGTGTAGCCAAGCCCTCAATACCTTTCCCAGACCTGAGGAAGACCTCTATGTAGCTCAGAAACTTGTCTCTTTCACCAACCGAAGATATTACCTCATCCGCCTTGTCTCTCAAATAAGAGCTTCATCATTATCTCAAAACTGCATATAGACATAAAACTGATACTTAAGCCTTCCAGGTCCATTAGTCACCTGAATTTTATACTGTTCAGCAAGGTTTTCCTGCTGCTTTACTTTTTCTTGCAGGTTTAAAAGTTCAGCTTCAGCCGAAACAGTGTTGTCTTCCAAAGCAGCAAGTAAAGCCTAGATTAAAATAAACAGAAAATAAATATTTTATTCTTGTTATAGGCAATACACTTTTTTTCTGATAGTGGAGAATTAAGAAATCAAAGCACCATCAGCACTATTATATGACTAGCAATTAAACTACTGGTATTTAACTGTACATGATCACATTTTGTTATTTTGCATGGTAAGTAACTGTGACAAACTCATTTAAATCTGTCAACTTCCATTCATATTTGATCCAGAGTAGAAATACTATACAAAAGATGTAAATCCTGTCATTTTAAAGACAGACTGAGTGTGAGTTAATCTAACTCTAGGGCAAGATTCAATCAGCTTGATTCTCTGGCTGGCTAAAATGCAGGCAAAATAAAAGAGGCATTTGACAGTCTTGGTTTTAAAAAAGAAAATTTTGGAATTATTTTCCAAGTTGGAAGGGCTGTTGGATGTTAAAGACTATAGGGGATAATAGTCACTATACAGAGAACAGAGACTATTACACTTCCCCCAGATAGTGGAATATATTGATCAAACAGTATATTGTTGAATTGCCTATGTAACCTTGACTGGCATGTCTGATATGATGATGAATTCTGGAACATCTTTATAGTCTGTGACCACTTTCAACATTAAAGTACAGGGATCTGAAAGGATAGCAGTGAGGTACTTGAAATCAGAGAATGTGATTCTCAATATATGTCTACACTTCAAGCTAAAAGTGTGATTCCCAACTTGAGGAGAAATACTCGCACTAGTTCTGATCAAGCTACCATGCTAAAAACAGAATGTAGCTGTGGCAGCAAAAGCCGTGGGACGGGCTAGCAGCCCTGAGTATATGCCTGGGGTCTTGGATGGGAACGTACTTGTGGCAGCTAGGCCCTCCGCTGCTCATGGCTACACGCTAGTTTTATCATGGTCGCTTGATCAGAGCTAGCACGAGTATTTCTTCTTGAGCTGGGAATTACACACCCAAGCTCCAATTCCAAGTGTAGGCATACTGTGAAAGGCTAGAAGGACAAAAGGAAAAAGTACTTTCTAGACATGTTTAGGTTTTTTTAAACTTTTATTATAACTAAACGTAGACCAGATATTATGTATACTATTTATTTTATTCTGAGCTGATCTTCTCTCTCCACTCTTAATAAATCTTGTTTTTAATTGGATCTCTCGAGACTTACTGTTTGGGAATTTCACACAGAAAGTCAGATGCCATTTGAACTATGTTTGCAGCAATAAAATTACTTGAATGGTACAGAAGCTTTCTTATTACAAACTGTATTATTTGCAGTATTTGTAGATCAGATGACATATGAACTAGACATCTTTTGATGTAATTAACAATTAAATAATTATTGTGAATATAATCTTTGGAGGAGTGGGATGAAAGGTGGCCACCCACAAGCCCCAGGGATTGGTTTTTCAGTGTGTAAAGCTTTGGTTTGCAGGAAAAGACCACAATGGAGATATCCAGGATCAAGAATATGAACCACAGAAAAAGAGTAGTAGGATAGGTAGGAGCAAAACCAGCAAAGGGAAGTCCTAGAGACTTTATCCAATTGTGCCAAGCAAGTTTGAAACCTCCCTAACTTAATTTGAAACTAGCTATTAAAAGTGAATTCAGTTCCCATGTTTGGAACATTAGTAAAATTTTGTTTCAAGTTAAAAGGGTAACTGTTAGTTAAGTAATCATATAGATAATGATAATGAAAAGGACAGAAGGTAGTGTGGTTAAGGTACAGGACTGGGAGATCAAAGACCTATTCCTAGCTCTGCCACAGATTTCCTGTGTTAACCTATCAATGTCTCATTTTCACCAACTTCAAAATGGGGATGATAATACCTACTTCACAGGGGTCTTGTGATGTTTAGTTCATTAATACCGTATAAGTGCACAGTTTATTAAAGGAGGCCTCGAGATATTAAAAACGTATAGTAATAACAAAATTTGAATTAAATCTAGGTACTCTTTATTTTAAAATACATCAGGTATCCATGGTTATTCTCATACTGAACAATGAAATGATATAACAATCTACCTTTAATTTTGCATTTTCAAGACGAATATTTGCACTTTCTGAATTGATAGAATTAAGCTTTCCATGGATTTCTTCATTTGAATTTCTTCCACGATCTTGTATTTTTTTCATGTCCTCCAAAAGGTTTGTGATCTGTCTTTATTAAATAAATCAAGAACTTTTGCAGCAACTAGCATGTTGTACTTTTTAAAATTTAATTTGCATATTATGTTCCTCTAGCAGCTATTGAAAAGTTTGTGGGTTTTTTTTGTTTTTGTTTTTATTAAAGTAACTCCATATATTTACACACCCCAAATGAGCAACAACTGGAGAAGTTGGAAGTTCTTCAGCTTTTCCAATAAATGATGTAATAAGATTAAAGGATGTGAAATTGGGTTAGAACAATTGTAAATAAGCTGATTAGATGGAATGCACAGGCACTCTTCCAACGCAAATATCAGATTATATATATTTACAGTCCAAGACATTATGATGCAGAATTTAAAAAGGGACTGCCAAATAAAAAGCTATCTTAAAACATTTTCTTACGTAGGTTAGGAATACCACCTTCAACTATTAAAAGTAAACCGATTCTACTTTACTTTTCACCATTTATACCAATTTACTTTTTGTACTAGTCAAATTAGATAATGAAAATTGTCTAATCAGATTTCTGTTCACAGACAGTTTAGCTTTCTGGTGCTCATTCACTGGCATAGTGCCATAGTTTTTGCTGCAATGTTTAATTCTAAGCAAAGAAACTTTTTCTTTGAAATTAAAAAAAAATGAGAACGCTTTCCATGAAAATTTGGTTTTCTGAAACTCAAAAAACCAAAACCCGTAAACTTAATTTTGGCCCTTATAAACATGTGAACATTCTTCTTTAAACAGCTATTTGACAAAACAAACATTCTGCATGAAACCCAACAAAAAAGTATAGGCAGCAGCCTTTAGTCTTATTTTATGTATTTATGACAAACCTATTGGAAATACAAACTGTAGTTCAAACCATAAAAATGTGTAAGGATACTTCTTACCATATGCCAAGGAAAAAGGCATTTTTAGTTATTCAACCTTTTTCTATTATATATTTTAAGATTTAAGGGAGTTCTGTTTTGTCTGTGATTACAGACAAATGGCATACATGCATGCATTCGGGAGCAAATCCTACCCCCCATCTCCATGTATGGAAGGCCCATTCTGTAGTGGAACTAACTGGTCCAATTCACTGCAGCAAAACTGTGAGTAGAAAGCCAGGAGTCTATGCAGGGAGGTTCTTCTGTGCTGCTGTGGAGGCCAGGTTTGACAGTGGGGCTAGAGAGGAGAATCCTTGTTGTATCAGTTACAACTCAGATCCTTCAGCTATTTTCCCCCTATGGGGTGTAACCCAAGTACAGGTTACAGCAGCTCATAGCCTGTAATTTCAGCCACTGCTGACAGGTGAGAGGGTTCCCTGTGTCAAGCACAGTAAGCCCCTGTAGTCAGGAATGATGTAGGAGTTACTCTTTAGTTATAATGGAAGTTGTGTGATCCAGTGGAGAGAAGGCGATAATGCTAAAATATGTTCCATAGTTGAAACATCTAATTCTGATCACCATTTTCCAAGTTCTAAATTCTACCTGGAATTTTAAATAGTAAAAACATGTACATGAAATTAATGTTATTTCTTATTCATTTGCAAAAAGCTTCAACAGTTTAACTTACTTCTTCAGACTTTCAAATTGAACCTCTAACCGAGTCTTTTCTTCTACAGCCTTCTCATGATGATTTTTCCAGACACTGGAAGCTGAAAGTACTTCAGACAATTTGACTTCCTGGAGAATATACAAAATATAGATCATGTAACATAAGAACTGCTTTTTAATTTTGCACAGTTCCTAAACACAAAAGATATTTTAACTTAAAGCAGCCTTAAATCACACCTCAGTAGTATAAAATAATGTAAACTTAAGCTTGCAATCTCAAGGAGAGAAATTAAAATAATTTAAATATATTAAATAAGCTTGAACTACAGAATTATGAGTCCCTAGAACTGAATCACAATTAAGCATTCATGTGTTTTCAAGCTGCAAACTACAGCAAGACTTCAAAATTTGAGGTAAAATGATTTCTTAAAATAAATATATTCAACTGTACTAATCCGAGACATAAGAATGACATTTTAAAATAAGAGATCAAAATAAAGGCCAGAATAAAATTGAGTCATAATAGCAAAATGTTGTGAAAAAGAAACAATAGCTAACTACGAGAGTTTCAAACACAAAAGAAGAAAGATTGGATTTTGTGGTTTATTTAATGGCAGTTAAGTTGAGCTTTTCAAAGCGGTGAAGTGTTAGCCACACGTTTCATTAAAATTAACTGCTTTGAAAACCTTCACCTTAAACCTCACAATAGGAAAATAAAGAGAAAGCGCTATGACAACACAAAAAAACTGAAATTGAAGTTAGACAAATGGCAATTAAATTAATTTAATTAATTAAAATGTCCAGTACAACTGACTGTCATCATGAGAAAACCAAGTTGCATCGTATGGTCTGAAGGTAAATTAAGCCCACAAAGAAGAAACAAAGCAAATTTAATTAGATCCTGATACAATACATTTGCCTAGTCGTTCTATGTCTACAATGGTATAACATGCTATGAAATGTTATGATGAAAGTATATTCCCACCTGTTGGAAAGTGCAATGAAAGGAGACCAAGTTTTAAATGTACTCTAATGGGCTAACTGATTCCATTCAGAATTGTAAGCCACCAACTCCAGAAAGATCACTCAAAAAAGTTCTGATTCTCCTGGCCTTCTGAAATTTCTTAACATTGGTGAAAAAAATGTTGAGGCAGCAAGAGGCCCTCAACAAGGTCTGAGGGACAGCTGAATGAGAGGGTTCTAACTTCATTTTCAAAGCTCTATAAAATTCAGAGCATACAGCTTACAAAGAGAAATTTGAGCATCTACAAGACATGCTGCCTGCTGGATCCATTGTAAAAAAAGACAATGGCTGAGTACTAAGACATCAAGATCCCAATCCTGCAATCTGATCTGTGTGAGTGGACACTTGTGCCCATTAACTTCAATGTCTATCCACACAGCTCAAACTGCAGGATCGGGCCTACCTATGAATGTAAGGAAACAAGCTTCTCAATGATATTTAGGGATTAATGTGCATGACTCCTAGTAGCATTAACTGGCATATACCATACTGAAAGGAGACCAGACCCCCTAGAGCAAAATTACAAAGTGGACAACCACATGGTCCAAGTCATTCACTAAACTGACTTTTTAATCTTGTAAACAAAATAAAGACTAGATGATCATGATGGTCCCTTCTGACCTTAAAGTTCATGCATCTTATCTAGCAATTGCTTTTGGATCACTGATTTTAAATTACCCTTCTCTAAAGTGGAACAAATTAAAATGTACCAGTCCAGAGTACAGTATGCTCAGTTGGTCATTACTGTTCTCCAACGATGAGGCAATCTTAATGTTTGATTGCACTTATTATTTTAAACAATACTTGATTATTTTAAAAAACATTTGATTATATCAACACAGCCACTTACCCTCTTTCTAATTTTGGAAGTTAGTTTTTCAACAGATGCTTCAAAACATTCAGCTCTTTGTTTCTGGGCTCTGGTTGCTTTTTTCAGAGCTTTCTTCTTTTGCTCATTTGTTTCCTTTACAGCTAAAATTTGGTGCTTGTGTTTTCCAATTTGAAGCTTCCACTCAGTTATTTTCTTTTCCAGAGTCTGCAGAATAATTAAGCAAAATGAATATGTTCTGAACATTATGGGGCAGATTTTGAGTCACAGTAACATAACCATGCAGGCGAGAAAGACTTCCACCCCACCTGCATTAGGCTTCCTGCATCCCAAATACATGCACAAGGGTGAGAGCAGAAGCTGTGCACCCAGTATTTCCACCCACTGAGTAGTAAGAAATGGGGATGGAGGGACAGAGGGGGAGGAGGGTGCATAAGTCAGAGGGTAGGGAAGGAGCCAAATGGTGGGGAAAAGCCATGGGGATGGGGGCACAGCAGAATGGGAAGAGGATAGGAATCAGTGAGTAGGTTGTGGGGGGCAGCAGCAGATGGGGACAAGGGCAGACTGGGGTCACAGGGGCAGAAGAGTCTACAACTACTAGAAAATACTCTCCTCCAGAACCTGGAATAGAACCCAAGAGTCCTAAATCGCTACATTCTTCTGTTGTCAGCAAATAGATCTGAAGACCACTGAAAAAGTGTGTGTTTCATCCTCCTCTAGTGGCTGGCCCACACAGAATATAACCACCTACTACTGCTATCAGTTACTACATTAGCTCAAGTGGTACCGGTATGTGCTGTGGATGTAAGGGTCTAAAATCTGCTGATAACCCAACCAGGTGATCAATATGACTCCACATGACAGAAACTGTGTTTTTCCAGTTTGTTTTTGAAAAAATTAGGAAATTACATTTAACCAAATACATTAAAAGGACATTAAGGCTGCATAGTCACACACTCAAAAGTTAGGAAACGCCAACACTGCCGTATGTGTATGCATTATAGTACAGTCTTTAATTATATGATCGCTTGCTATTTTTTCAACAGGACCCCTGCCTCATTCAGCATTCAGTGGTCTGGATGCACCTGCTCTGGGGATGAATCAGGGCTGTGTAGCGAATAAGACAATTACACCTCTACCCCGATATAATGTGACCCGATATAACACGAATTCGGATATAACGTGGTAAAGCAGCGCTCCGGGGGAGCGGGGCTGAGCGCTCCGGCGGATCAAAGCAAGTTCAATATAACGCGGTTTCACCTATAACACGGTAAGATTTTTTGGCTCCCGAGGACAGCGTTATATCGGGGTAGAAGTGTATCTACAGCACCCCTGCATCATTTGTTGCGGAAGTTAGAAGTACACAGTGAATGAGGCAGAAGATTGCAAGAAGAGAAAGGATGGTCTCAACGTTGAGTCAGATGAATGTTGCCCTGGAGAACTGGATTCTCTTCCTGCCTTGGCTACAGAGTTCCTATGCAAGGCTGGGCAAGTTACTTGAACTAGATTTTTCATGGGTGTTACTATCATGATATTTATGTTTGTTTCCCTACATAGCATTTTTTATTTAAATAAGGATGCTAAAGGCAAATCACATCAAAGACGTTAAAACGAGGTACAGTGACATTTGGTGAAGAAAGCAATCAGATGTATCCTTAAAGCCTGCTTTAAAGAGGGCCCAAACACAGTTGTCTTTAGGATGGTCATCGATGGCATCAACAAGCTACCAGCATGCAACTGTTTCTTGATGGACAGTCTTAAATCCACATTGATATCATCAACAATTTTTCCACCATGCAATAAAGTAGTAAACATGTCAGCTACATATACCAGTCTATATAAAATACTTTCAGGTCATCTTAAAATAGTTTAAAGGCAGACATGACTAAATGTAACATAAATTAAAAACAGGTATAGTGCCTTCTCATTCAAGTCTGGGCCGTGACCCTTCCTAAGGTGTGTTCCAGACACATACATAGTTAGAATGACATGAAATTTACTTGGTAGTCAAAAGGGGAAAAAAGGAACAATGCTACTTCTTGATGTAAGTGTGAAATGAAGCAGTTTATATTTGACTTTGATATTTATAACTGTGACTTGGGAGATAATATCTTCAATGAATGAAGCAAATTTAGGAGAATATAGAAGATTTTTATTTGTCAGTCTGTTGCTTATACACTGGTAAAAGACATTACCTCATCTACCTTGTAGCTTATATTAACAGTTAAAGAAATACATAGGGAATACAATTGTAATTCTTTTATATCACCACAAGATGTCACTATCACACTATGACTGACAGTCCTGTGTAGCATGCAGCTCCATCCTTTACAAAGACTTAGGTAAATTTAAACTTGGAACTCATTTCATAATGAGCAGAAAACATTCACGCTGTCCGAAGGCTTTGTCAGGGTATCAGCTGACTTCAGTGGGATATGGACACTTAATTACCTTAGACTCCTTTGAAAACCTCAGCCTAGATGGCTGTGTACTCTCACTGAATCTTTATGCAAAGATCAGCTTATTCCTTGAAATACACCATTTAATAAAATGCGCTGGGAGAATTCTAATAATGACACTGTGCAGAAGTACAAAAAACAATATCCTTCAGAACAAAACATGAAATGTGTATACTTAATTTCATGTTCTGGAGTAAAAGTGTTAGAGGAGAAAATAAGTAATCTTCCAAACCTGGAAAAAAAAAATCTACCTTACTTTTAATTTCCAAATGTTGACTTCTTAATGGCAAATACCATATATATATTAGGGCTGTCAAGCGATTAAAAAAAATTAATCGTGATTAATCGCCCGATTAAAAAATACCATTTAAATATTTTTGGATGTTTTCTGTATTTTCAATTACAACACAGAATACAAAGTGTACAGTGCTCACTTTATATTTATTTTTGATTACAAATACTTGCACTGTAAAAAACAAAAGAAATAGTATTTTTCAATTAACACAAGTACTGTAATGCAATCTCTTTATCATGAAAGTTACAAATGTAGAATTATGTACAAAAAATATCTGCATTCAAAAATAAAACAATGTGAAACTTTAGAGCCTACAAGTCCACTCAGTCCTACTTCTAGTTCAACCAATCACTCAGACAAACAAGTTTGGTTACAATTTGCAGGAGATAATGCTGCCAGGAGATAATGCATGTCCTCTGGAATGGTGGCCGAAGCATCAAGCAGTATACAAATGTTTAGCATATCTGGCACATAAATACCTTGCACCACCAGCTACAAAAATGCCATGCGAACGCCTGTTCTCACTTTCAGGTGACATTGTAAATAAGAAGCAGGCAGCATTATCTCCTGTAAACGTGAACAAGCTTGTTTGTCTTAGCGACTGGCTGAACAAGAAGTAGGACTGAGTGAACTTGTAGGCTCTAAAGTTTTAAATTGTTTTGTTTTTGAGTGCAGTTATGTAACCAAAAAAACCCTACATTTGTAAGTTACACTTTCACGATAAAGAGATTGCATTACAGTACTTGTATGAGGTGAACTGAAAAATACTATTTCTTTTGTTTATCATTTTTACAATGCAAATATTTGTAATAAAAATACTATAAAGTGAGCACTGTACACTTTGCACTGTGTTGTAACAGAAATCAATATATTTTAAAATGTAGAAAAACATCCAACAATATTTAATACATTTCAATTGGTATTCTATCGTTTAACAGTGCAATTAATCGCGATTAATTTTTTGAGTTAATCATGTGAGTTAACTGCGATTAATTGACAGCCCTAATATATACACACACACACACACACACACACACAATGTTAGCATTTGGCATTGCTCTGAAACCTCCACGGTGATATTGTTTTAAAGTCACTTTCATTCCTATTTTCCAAAGTGTAAAAATACATCATTACAAAGGTTTATATGCACTATTAGAACATCATATCCACCAAGAAACAGGTATAATCACTGTTAGAATTAATTAATTTCTATAATTAACTTATCAATTGAGTTTATCTTTGTAGTTGAGTACGATTCTAGTAAGTCTAAACACAAAAAACTTGCATATTTGTCTGTATGGTATTTATAAGGAGATCATTAATATCCCAAACATCAGAGTCCTAGGTCAAATCCAAGCCTTATTACTAATCTAGGCAAGTTACTTTTGCAATATCAAATATCATGGCTATCAACTCCTACTGTCCTAGGAGGGCTTTGTGAGTGACCAAAAGACCCAAATTACGCATGTAAAATGATTTCAACTGATTTTTCTGACATGTTCAGCTAATACACATACAATGCTTAGCTTAACTACAAACCTCAGCTTTCCTCAGATTATATAAAATCTCTCCTTCCCCTTTAAAATTACATTGCAAACTTGTATTAATTTCCCTAGTTTCTTTAATTGTGCTTAAAAGGTTGAATATCTGGTTAGTTACAACTGATTTGGAGCAACCACGAATAATTACTTAGCGATTCAGTTAAAATGAAATGAAAATGATATGCTGCTCTATCCTTCTCCAGTAAGAAATTCTATTTTAAGAATTTTTAATTAACTATACAGATCAACTGGCCAAACCTTCCCCTCTGCATATGATGTGAGATGACAGAGCACCTATGCAAGCTGTCACAGACCATGAATTGTAGAAGTGGCCTCTCCACTGGTGCTCCATTGCCAGTGGGGTAGGATTCCATGCTACTTTGCCCTGGAAAAGAACCCTGCACAAAGCCCATTTACTCGGCTGTTTTGTTTGGGCTCCATTAGCCATAATTCTGTATGCAGAGAACAATACTATATGTAGTAGACAAAGAAGCTAATTTCAGTTATGTTATCTAGTATGTAGAATACATGAATTGAACTGGTAAAGAACCAGCAGGCATGACAGCCAGGCCTATAGACAGCACAGACCATAAAAAGAGCCAAACAAAATTAGCTCATCTTTAATAAGGGAGAATAAAGTACGGCTAACACAGGGTTTTACTGAATGTCATTGTCATTATTTAGTGTACAAGCAAGAATGAGTTTAAATAAAAAAACAAGCTTGACGGTTATATTTTCAGCAGTAGCAGTCCTGATTGAAGTTTGGCCCATTGAAAGTGTGTGCAGCAGAGACCATTATCACAATATTGTTCAGTAAGAGTGAACAGCCTTTTTATTATTATTATTCTAAGCTGGAGAAAGTGAACAGAGGCTTATATTCATATAAAGATTTTTCTTTTTTTATTGTGTGTGTGAGATAACAAGCAACTGACCAACAGATTGATGGTAAGGTATAAGGTAAATTCAAGAAGATATAAGGTAATAGGGATAGTCCACTTTTAAGACAACTCACCTGCTCAATCTTAAATTTCATCTTCCTTGCAAATTTCAAATACTCATAGAGAATCTGTGGCTAGTCTGTCTCCTCCCTTGCAGCCACCTGATCACACCCTTGCAGTCTTTCAACACTGACAACTCCTGTCAACTTTCTCTGTTTGGTAACACTAAATATGCATCCCTTTATTAGGCCTTGATCTTGCAAACATTTCCATACATGTTTACTTTAAACATGTGAATAGTTGCATTCTCTTCAGTGGGACTCCGTATATGCACATGTGTGTTTGCAGGATAAAGGCGTTACTTTGGATACTTTTTACATCATTCTATGAGTGTCTATAGTGTAAGCTCTGAACATTCGTAAAATTCATTTGTAATTAAGAACATTGTCCAAATGGCTCTCAGGAAATATCTATTTCCATTATTTTTACTGGTTTGGGGTTTTCTATTCTAATTTGTCTATACCAGGGATTTAATTTAATAATAGCAAGTGACATTTTAAGATTTGACTGACAACTTCTAATTAAAAATGGCCCTCTGGCCCTAATATACTTTTATTAATTTACCAATGAACTAAAAGTAAACCCAAAGGAAAAATATTTGTAACCTGTATTTTTGCTTTCAACTGATCATTCTCAGCCTCCTTTTTTTGAATCTGGCATTGCAGATGGGCTTGTACAGCTTCTACTGACTTTGATAGGTGATCTGCTTTTAGTGCATTTGCCTATGCAAAAGATATGAACACAAATCTTTTAATTTATACAGATATGCCATGAGAAGATTTCTCTATTTTTTTGGTATAATTGATTTCTAACGTATGGTAGTATACACATTCTGTGAGTCATGCACAGACACAATGTAATTATGAAATAGATTGTAAACCCAGACTCAAGCATAATGCCCTCAACCGAAGCACTGTCAAGAGCTGTTTTAACCCTTTTATTGAGTATAGTCAGTGCTTTTCCTCCCACACTCACTTTGCATGGAACCACCTCCCTTGTCTGGTACAGAGCGTAAAAGGAACCTTTATCTACACATTTTGGTGAGGTTAGCACTGTCTAGAGCACTAGCCTTCAGCGGGTGATGAACTCAAAGAGCACAAGCAGAGTGACTGTGAACAGCCCCTGTACAGAGGCAAAATGGAGGGGGACTTTTGCACTCTCTTCTCTATAGGACTGCCAACTTTCTAATAGCAGAAAACTGAACACCCTTATATAATAATATATGGAGATATACCTATCTCATAGAACTGGAAGTGACCCTGAAAGGTCATTGAGTCCAGCCCCCTGCTTTCACTAGCAGGACTAAGTACTGATTTTGCCCCAAAACCCTAAGTGGCTCCCTCAAGGATTGAACTCACAACCCTAGGTTTAGCAAGCCAATGCTCAAACCACTGAGCTATCCCTCTCCCACCCTTACCCCAAGGCCCCACCCCTTCTCACTCCATCCCCCCCTCCGTCCGTCGGTTGCTCACTCTCCCCCACCCTCACTCACTCGCACACTTTCACCGGGCTGGGGCATGGGGTTGGGATGAGGGCTCTGGCTGGTGGTGTGGGCTCTGAGGTGGGGCCAGAAATGGGGGGCTCAGGGTGCAGGAGGAGGCTCCAGCTGGGGGTGCGGGCTCTGGGGTGGGGTTGGGGATGAGGGATTTGGGGTGCAGGAGGGGGCTCCAGGCTGCGGGGGTAGGGCCGAGGGGTTTGGATTGTGGGAGGGGGCTCCGGGCTGGGGCACAGGGTTGGGGTGCGGGAGGAGGTGAGGGGTGTGGGCTCCCGGCGGCGCTTACCCCAGGCGGCTTCTGGAAGCAGTGACATGTCCCTCTGGCTCCTAGGCGGAGGCGTGGCCAGGGAGCTCTGCATGCTGCCCCCGCCTGCAGGCACCACCCCCACAGCTCCCATTGGCTGCAATTCCCGGCCAATGGAAACTACGGAGCTGGTGCTCAGGGCGGGGGCAGCACGCGGAGTCCCTGTGGCTGCCCCTATGCCTAGAAGCCAGAGGCACATGTCGCTGCTTCCTTGGAGCGGTGCAGAGTCGGGTAGGGAGCCTGCCAGCCCCGCACCAACTGGACTTTTAATGGCCCGTCAGCAGTGCTGACCAGAGCTGTCAGGGTCCCTTTTCGACCAGGAGTTCCGGTCAAAAACCAGACACTTGGCAACCCTACCTCTCTACCTTATGCATTTGTGCAACATTAGCCTAAACCTAATCTTAAATGAGAAATGACAGTCAGGTCCAAACCAACCTCCCCCTTCGGAGCCATCCCTCACACTGACCATTGGAGGGGCTGGGGTGAGGATGGTTCACAATCCAAAAAAAACATCTGGAGTCAAACTTCCTGGTATGGGTCCACCTCTGTGAGAAACACTGGCCCACAGGAATAGCTTTTCATATAATGTTTGAAATTAAATATTACCCTTCTCACAATTAGAAAAATTAGGAGTTTTGGAGGTAAGAATTTAGCACACGGAGATAAAACATCCATTCTGAGGGGGAAACTGACTTACTTTTTCCTGTTGAAGCTGAGAAGAAAGCTCTACAATATGCTTCTCTGTTTCAAGTGTTTCTTTTCTGAGACCCTTCATGAAGGAAAATTAACACAAAATGAAAAGGTCTCAATATGCACATTTTGGGCTACATTATCATAACAGTGCACCCAAATTGCACATGTAAAAGGGATACTTTATTAGCGTAATTGAGCTCTCATTTCCAGTGGCACAAACATTTCAAGATGATGCTTAAAAGCAAACAAATTGTACACCTAAATATAAGAACAAAAGTGTCTCAAAGCAGGGCCATGAATTTAAGTGTACAGATGCACAGTCAACATAATTGGGTACCTAAATATAGCTGATGTACAATGTTGGCTTGTATTATAGGGATTTGTTCTGGGACACTCTTTTTGTCAATTTCCTGCAAATCAAATTACTGAAGGATACACATACACTTCCATTTACTTATCAAATTGTTTTGAAAATTCTGCTTTTTCAAAATTATGTTTGAAGAGGCCACAAGGGAGCAAGGAGACAGAGCAGACAATAAGGGAAAAGCCAGAAAAAGGAATTAAACAAGAATGGGGTGCTACTCTGGTGAGTAAAAAAACAAAAACCAATCTAAACATAGAGCCAGTAAATATTTGTGAACAAAGTAAAAGTAATGTTACTTCTGAGAGATGAGCTCCTAATTGTAAAGGTTATTTGGTCTTCACCGGAAATTAAGCTTAAGGATTTGATCTCTGTTGAAGGAAAATGTGTTGCCTGAATGGTTTTCAGACATAACAGCCATATTCTGCCCCTCTCCCAGACTGGTAGTGTTCCATAAGCAGCCCTTGTACTGACACTTATAGTTCAGGTTGCCTTAACTACTGAGTATCAGACTTCCTGGGTTGTGAAAAAAAATATAAATAAATAGCTCTTTTAAATCTGATAGCATTCCAATTCCAAGGTAGTCAATTTCTGCTCAGATTAGGAATAAAGTGATTTGGGTTATATTTTTTGGCCTTGGACAGTCATTAACACCACCTTGGGCCTCAATTTACCCCATTTATAAAATGAGGATAATAATACATGCTACCTGAGATATTTAGCACTGTATTATGCTTTTCAGCTAAGCATCTTGTTATTCCTTCTCAGTACTGGGGTAAATTGAACTTCAACTTCCAATTACTTTGTTTTAAAATTATTAAAAAAAAAAAGATACTGGCGGAATTTTACATTTCTTTGTAATACTGAAGTTGCACCAATAGTTAAAACTTCTCTTATCATTGCTTTCATGGAGTTAACTGTCTGGATTCACCTTTCTGAAGATTTAGGTACTTGGATACCATATTGCCCTTTATTTTCTCATTTGTGGCAAATGGCATATTTGGGGGAATGATTTGGAGGGTTTACAAACGTTTAGTTCCATCTGCTTTCTCAAGACTGTGTAGCCTGATTACGATAGCTACCATCTGGGCAGGAATGTGACCTCATGATGGAATGGAAACATTACATAAACTATAACAAAAATGGTAATTTTGGGGGGCAACGAATTCACAGCTTTTCCCTCCCTTACACTGCCTATCGGTTTATGTCAGAATAAAAAGGCAATGCACTTGAATAAGCATAACATTGAAGCAAAAGTAACATCTGGTCTTAGAGAAACAAAGCTAGACATTCTTCTCAGTTACACCAGTGTAAATAAGTAGCATTTCCATTAAAGTTACTCTGGAATTACACTGGTGAACAACATCAGAAACTGGCCCATGCTGTATATAGGATAATATACAGCACATTAAACTCTGTGTAATAAGCGTGACACCATACTCCTGAAAAATATCACTAGTCAAATGGGTAAGGAAGAAACAAAATGATGGAAATTGGGTGGAAGCCAGGCAAGTATATCAATATACACATACATGTGAGCGCAAGACAGAAAGACCAAGCAGTCTTCCTGATCCTAGGTCTGGCAGTTGCCTAGTGGAATTGTATGAGACTGGGATTTCACTGTTTTGTCATGCCGTGATAGAGTAAGGAGCCAGAAAGTGTAATTTACTTACATCATTTTCAGTTTCACTTTCAGTTAACTTCTGCATCAAAATGTCAATTTGTTTACTGCTTATCTGCATGTTCAAAATAGAAAAAACAACCAATATTTTAAAATTAATTCTTTTACAGTATATGGAACTTGCGGATTCAGTGTACTCAGAATGGAGACTGATACATATGAAATACCAACAGCAAGGAGATATTTACTTTGACATGCATGATTATATACAATTGGTGGGAAATATCTTAAGAGATTCTGTTCATTGTATGTGCAGAGCTTATGAATAGGGGAAAATAAACCAAGGTTAATTCTATATGTAACACTGATTATTTTTTAAATGGAAGCACTTACATGCCATGCTTATTTAATTTTCCTTGTTCAAATAGTAGCCTAAAGGTCAAGTGTGTATTCCATTCATCTATTTTAAAGACAAAGTGAAGCATTTCCTTAAGTGTTTCTGAAAATATTGTTTGATGGCAGCTAGGATTATCTCCAGACCCCAAAATCTTATATCCCACAATATTAACTTCTATCACAAATATAAATAAACTTGGAATGGCAAAACCATTTATATAGCCATAACTATCACACAACCATCAATTACATAATTTGGCAGTCAAAGTTGTCCTTATTTTATCAATTAGTTTTTTTACACTAATTGATGGAACTTCCAGTTAAGTAAATCCCAAACTTTTTAACTTCAGAGAATGGGCCCACTGACTTCCAAGGAAGTTTAGATAACTCAGCATGTTATAGGACCAGGCCCAATATGAATATTGAATTATAGGAAGGAGATAGCCAGCAAGTTGGGTGTCAAACTACAGATGGATCGGAAAGCAGGGAAAAGTAGCAAGGGGAAAAGCAAATGAGAGCTGCATTCTCTGCACTGGTATTTGCAGAGTGCACTCTGCTGGATTTTAGAAGCATGATGTACTCTGGCTCATCAGTGAGAGGGAAGCCTTACAGATCATTCTGAACAGAGCCAGAGCACACGTGTACAATGTTCACTTTAGGAATTCACTGCTTATGTATGTTTGGTTTTGTTTGAATACAAACACCTGTGAATTGCAGGTATTCAAACACAAAGAGATAATCACACCACTATTGTAATATAATGCTCTCTATATTTCTTCACTTTTCTTCTCTCTCTGCCTCCTTATTATTTATCAATTGCCATTCTCTATTTGTTTGTCTTTTCCTTTTTAAACTTCCTCTCCCTCCTTGATTATTCTATATATACAGGCTCCAGAATAAAGAAGAAACACGTCTTCTCTCATCTGCTTTTTATTAAAAATTTAATATATCTTTTTGAAGTCAAGCAATTCCTATTCTGTCTTATTCAGCAAATATGATTATGCTTAAAGACTAACATATACATGAAAGGAAAGTATCTGTGATATTTACAATACTATACAAGCATAGCATAACATAGATTTCTCAAAATAGGTTAAACTTCCCACACAACCTGGGGTTGATTTGGACAATAAAGAATATTTGAAATACTATAATTTTGCATTTTCTGTGACTGGCTATTGCTTTCTTTTTTTGAAAACACTACTGAAAAAGATCAGGAAAAAAAAATGTGTTCGTGCTCACTGTTAAACCACCCCAAGATTGCTTTGGGTCATCTTACTTCTTTATGCTCTGTTGTTCTAAGTAGGTGTAGTAATAATCCTTTTATGTGTTTGAGAGTCTCCAGTTCCTTTATCAGTAAATCCTCTTGTTTAGAAATCTTAATCATATCTGATGTAGAAAGGTTACACACCTGATAAAATATTAAGCCACAAACAAATATACTGTAAGTGTACTACAATATTTCCCCAAAACAGCATGATTACCATTATTAAAATTTAGCTTTAAAATATTGAAACCATAAAACTATTTTTCAAAGTACACTGCAAAATATGATAATGAATATGCAAAAATACTGTTTAGATTAGGATTTAAACATTTTGGTATGAAATACTACACAATTCAATATTCACTCTTCAAAGTTTGTAACAGAGAGATCAGGCATATGCTCTTTCTATTTTAACTTTTTTGCTGATAAAAGGCCCAATTTTCCTCTCTCAAGGGAAAATCCATTTAAATCAAACTAATTTTGCTGCTCCAAAAGTAACAAAGGACAATCAGGTAGCAGACCTTTTAGTAAGTACTATCACAGAAGTTATTTCATCCTGATTTGCACATATGTATTCATGATACTTCTACCTGTAGCTGGAGAGAAATTGAAGTACTATTGGAAATGTTAACTCTGTTGTACAGAAAAGTGTGAATTCCCAATGGCAATTCTTAAATAAATTAGCCATGAGGGAATGCAAAATATCAAGATATCTTGACTCCTAGAATAGTATTTGTTTTGTTTTATAAACTTAAATAGTAATAATGTATTTGTACTCAACAGGTTACAGACATCAAAAACTTCATTTGAAATTTTTTTTAAAATCATAGTAAAAAAATATATCTACTGTACAATATTGTGTATAAACAGGGTTACAATTGGGGAAGAAGATGCAAATGTATTCAAGTTCTGCTCACAAACCCAGAATAGACAGGTAGCTATATGTTTCTGCTAAAATGATCAGCAGTGAAATAGCTCAGAATGTTGACTTTTAAACTGACAACATTAGGGTTCAGAATTAACATTCATGTGAGATGAAAACAAACATTTGGACCCCTCAAAGCTCTTATTTAAAGATGTATGTCTGCACTCAGATATCACATCAGTCAACATTTAGAGTGCTTTTCTAATCAACCATATGAGTTAGACATTTAAGGTTTTTTACAATAAATGTTTAATTCTGCAGAAATGAGTGGAGCAAAAAAAAAAAAAGACTGTACAGCATATCCCAGAACACTAACCCAGTTAGAGTTCTGAGAGTAAATATGTACACAATTTTTATATAGTATTAAAATACAGCAAAATACAGAAACTTACATTTGTCATTCCAGCAATAGTGACTTTAAATGAAGGCAAAAACATTTCTGTTGAACTGATTGCCATCTCTGCTTCAAGAATCTTTTCCTCTAATGTGGCAATTTCATCTTCTTTCAACCTATTCACAAGAAGAACTTAATAGAAATCAAATTGCACTAACTATACATGTTTAATATATATAAATATAAATAAACTTTTCCATTTCACAAATATTTATTAACCAAAGGCAGAATTTTCTCAAGTTTTCTCTGAGTAAGAACCTCAGAATTTGGCCTATAGTGTTCCCTTAATATGCAGGCTACAACTCCTTTCCTTTCCTTTGCCTATCATAAATTATTTACACTGAACACTTCTGGGAACACTTTCTTGCTGCTGCATTCTATGTCCTCTAAAGTCAGCAGAAGTAGGAACTTTGGGATTTATCCTATTAAAAAAAAAAAAAAAGGTTTAAAGCAAAGTTTATTTTAAGTGTTACCAATAACTCCTTAGATGACTGTATCATGAACTTCTAAAAATCAAATGTACTTTTCACTAATTAAGCTGTTTGCTTTTTGTATTTCACTCAGCCAGGGGAATGAAAATAAGACTAAACAATCTCACTTGCAGGGTCTCATGAACTAGTACAATATGCAGCAGTGTTTGGGTTGCAAACACAGGCAGGGTGGGATTTTCAAAAAGTTCCCTATTATAGGGTGAAATTAATCTCTGTTCAGAGGACCTACATAAGCCCCTATGTTGTCAAAACACAAAGCCTTAAATGAATCCTCTGCCCAGACATGAATTGCACCCACAGAGATAAATATTTATGTTTTGAACATATTGTGTGGATTTGAACATCTAAAGAAGCACAAATAAATGCTGTAAGAACAGATGAAAGACTATTGGTCTCATGAAATTCTGTAATTGTATTTTTCCCAGTCTGAAGCATACCATCTCATTTCACTTTCACTCAGGTTTTGTTCTAGGAAGTTTTCCTGTGATCTGCTTTTGAGCTGTGGTGACAGTTCTTTCAGCTTGGTCTGATGTTTATCCATAACTTTGGTAAATGAACTCCAATTCTGCTTCAAGGGTTCCTCCTCCATGCATGCTGAAAACTTACAAACATTTTATTTTATTTCAGTTTTTATCTTCTCCCCAACTATTTCAAGACATATTTTCTACCTATAACAATCAAAGCTTAATCAAAAGATTATCTATCAAAAGATAACAAACCAGAATATGGGGCCAGAATTATTTTAGAAGGTTATTTCAAATGTCCATCATCCCTTTTATTATGGGAAATAGAATGGAATTAAAAGATGGTACCAATTTTCTCCCCAATAACCTATTTCTCTACATACTTTTCTCCTACTTTCTTTAGTCTTTATGTAAGAAGTCTTGTCCAATGCTGTAAAACAGCTAACAGTGGATGTTATACCCTGAAGATCAAGCATATTACCATCACAGTGAGAAAAATGGAAGTCCAGAATCCAGATTATTTACTTGTACAAATGGGCAGAAAGAAGGATGTTTCTGATGATAGTTATCATAGCAACAAATTTAGCATTAAGGCCACATAGTTTATTATTAGCTTCTTCAAAATATATAGAAAACAATCCAGCTGGGATTTCTAAAGGAGCCAAAGAAAGTTAGGCGACCAAATCCTCTTTCATTTCAAAAGGGAATAGTGTGCTTAACTCCCTGATGATCCTTTGAAAGTCCCACCCTACAGGAATTTGCAGCTAGTCAGGAATTAAGTAGAATTTTCTTTATGCTTTCGCACACATCATTCTATGAATTCCTTCCAATTTAGCAGGAACTTATTTAATGCAAGGGAGTTAAGAACAAATGTGCAAATATCTCTAATGCCAACAGGAGTGCAAGAAAGGCTTAAGAGTGTCAGCCTCATACTGATACTATTTTTACGTCTTCCACAATTCCCTACTTGGTCTGCTTCTTCACTTAGACCAGTAAAATATTTTCCATGTTGGTTGACTTTTCTGATTCTAAAAAAATCTTCACAGGACTGAATCAATGAACAGAGTTTTGCTGCTTCTCCAGGTGTAATAGGTAGTGCATGTCTTGTTCCCTACAACAACAATATTGAGAATTATGTAACAATTGGTACTACTCATTGCTAGGCTTGCTATCCTTACCTGCCACCTGAGCCTAAGAGACATCTCAAGATAAAACAACTTATGTTCTTTATTAAGTAGAAATACTCCTGAAAAATTTTCAGGACGAACTAAATTATCATTTTCATCTGTTATTTCCATCATTACTAAAGGCCCTACCCTGTGACGTAATAGGAGGTGAGAATTGAGAAAACTGAGAATTTAGCATCAGACTCTTAGTAACTAGACAATAACATCACACTTATTTACATCTCGTCATAATGTGAAATTTTACATCTAACTTCTATTTTTCCCATTTTCATTTCTTTGTTTTTCCACAGGTTTACATTTCAAAGGGGATTTCAATCTGAATGACATATGCTGGAAGTCTTATGCTGTTAGAACGAAAACGTTCCCTGAATTTCTAAAAGTTATAGAGGACAATTTTTTTATTCCAAAAGTGTTACACCCAGCACAGGGGAATCCTATAAAAGACCTCATCTTGACAGGAGGAATTGATTGCAGAACTAAAAATTAGCATTTCCATAGATGCAAGTGATTGTGACTTGATTACATTTGTTGCATACAAAGACAATGAAGTCCAAGCCAGTCATAGTGATTTAAAAGGGTCAATTATACAAAGCTGAAAACAATTATGAGCCAAATCAGTTGAGAGAAGGAATTTACACAGGAAAATATGAAGGCTAATTGGTAGTTGTTTAAAAACATTTTACTAGATGCCAAAAAAAGGTACAATCCCACAAATGAGAAGGCTATACTGCTTAAAAAACAACCTGGTTTAGAGGGGAGGTGATATACATAATGTATTTATATAAAAAATGAGGTGCAGTGGCTAAGTGGTTAATGCACTTGACAACAATCCCGGCGGTTGTGGGTTGGAGTCTTGATTGATCTTACACTGAAAAGCTGTCTCCAGTTCACCTCCATAGGGTTAGAGAAGTCAAAGGTGTAGCGGGGCATTCAACCCGCTCTGGCTCAGAAGTGGTTAAAAGCCAGACGTTGGGGAGAGCTGGGGCTGAGAGCCAATCAGAGAAGGCTGGGAGGCAGCCAATCAGGGCCAGGCTGTACCCTATAAAAGGGCTGCAGGGCCAGAAGGCTGTCAGTCTCTCTCCAGCCTTGAAGAGGCAAAGACTGGCTGCCTGCAAGCAGAAGGGAGTACCTGGACAGAGCAGTGCTGGGAAGAGCAGGAGCCGAGGAGCTCCAGCCTGGCAAACTCCCAGACTTAGGCTTTACTTCCAAGGCCTGAGAAAGTACTGGGGCTGTGGGGAGCAGCCAAAGAAGGAAGAGGCAACCGGTCCAACCCCCTTGCCGATGATGAGTGGCCACTTCAAACTGCAGTTTGCCCCTGAGGGAAGGAGCTAGATGAGGACTGGCAGTGGGTCACTGAGACGAAGTGGGCTTAAGGGATTGGGGTTCCCTGGGGAGGGGAGGACCCTGAGTGTGGGGGCCACTGCGGCGGGGCAGTACCCAGGAAAAGGGGCACCGCAGGCTGGGAAGGACGTAGGGCCTGAAGTATAGTGGTGGAGATTGAGAATAAAAAGACAAGTAGCGACAGCAGGAGAGACACCGGCCAGCAGGAGGTGCTCCGAGGCTGGATGAGTTAATTCCCGGACTGACCAGCAGGAGGCGCCGTGGCGGTGAGTGCATGCCATGCTACAAAAGGCAGTTGAGCATCATGCTAGCTACATTACTCCCTTGTATAGCGTTGGCTATGGAAAATGACACACCTTAAAGACATTACTGCTAAAGTTTGCGGATGACATAAAGATTTGGGGAGTGTTAAAAAATGAAGAGTTCACGTCATTGATATAGAGCGATCTGGATTACTTGATAAACTGGGAAACAATATACATTTCAATGCAGCCAAATGTAAAGTCATACATCTAGGAACAAAGAATGCAGGGTATACTTAAAGGCCGGGAGACTCGTGGGGGGGGGGGGGGGTCTCCCAGTGTGGCAGTGTACCCCAAAAGGATAATGAGAACTCTGGATGTAAAAACTAGAATATCAAGTAGGAGAACAGAGAGGTTATTTTACCTCTGTATATGGCACTGATGCGACTGACCGCTACTGAAATATTGAATCCAGTTCTGGTGTCCACAATTCAAGAAGGAGGTTGGTAAAATGGAGATGATTCAGAGAAGAACCACAAGAATGATTAAAGGGCTGGAAAATGTGCCTTTTAGTGAAAGACATAAAGAGCTATTTAGTTTATCAAAGAGAAGATTAAGAAGAAACTTAATAGGTCTGTTAAGTACTTACATGGGGAACAGAAATTTAATATTAGAAGGCTTCCCAATCTATCAGATGAAAGTATAACAAAATCCAATGGCTGGAAGTTGAAACTAGACAAATTTAGACTAGAAATAAGCTGCAAATTATTATCAGTGAGGGTAATTAACCATTGGAACAACACATCAAAGGCTGTGGCAACTTCTCCATCACTGTTACTATTTTAATCCGGACAGGATGTTTTTCTAAAAGAGCTTATACTCAATGAATTTAAAACAGTTCCAGTCTGAAGTTTTAATTAATAATAATTGTAAACTGATTGCTTCTTTGACTGATGATGCAAGTTATAAAGGGTGCTTAGTTGCAGGAGGAGTAGCTTTTTTTTTTTTTTTCTAGAGTGATATAAATATGTACAGCAAAACAGTAACAAAATTAAAATTCATAAGCATTTAATGAAACCATCTAACCAAATACTCATTTAAGTTGCCCCAGTTCCAGTCGTAAGAGTGAATTAAGTCTCCATTGGTTCTAACAAGTAAATTTGCAAGAATTTAATTTGATGTAAACTTAAGTAAGTTCTATAAAATATATTGATACCGAGGCTTAATACATTACATTCCATGTGTGTTGAATGCAAATAATTTTCATATGTTCTCAAGTTAATATTGCTATGAAAATATTTTGCTATATTTACACATTGCACAACTAAGCACAAAAATCTAAGACTGAGATTAGTCAAATTCCTTCAATGCAGCATTTTGGGAGGGTTAGCATAGCATTTAATTTATCCTAATTCATCTAGAGCCAGAGAAGCACAAATTAGAATTTATCCATTTTTTCAGTATGTAATTTTTAGAGGTAGCCTTTAATTAGGATATGGGATCCCTCCTACCTTGTGTCAAACTTGCATAAATCTTCTTTTAAGAACTTAGCTTCCCTTAGTAAACGTGTAGCATATTCATACACTCTCATAAACAACGCAGAAGTCTTCCACATAATATCCTCTATTCTAATCCCATTTTTCTCTTCTTCCCCTCTGAATTTATTTCCCAGTGGCTTGAGATGTGACCAAGCAGCTTCCAACGAACACTTGTCTAAGGGCAAGTCTACACTAGCGCTTGAGTAGATCTAAGATACGTCGCTCAGGAATATGAAAAAGCAGCCTCTGAGCGACACAAGTTTTGCGCTGTTCACACTGGCGCTATGTCGGTGGGAGACACTTTCCCACCAACATAGCTTCCGCTTCTTGCGGAGGTGGAGTAATTATGCTCACTCCCGCCAGCATAGTGTCTCTTCACTAGGTGTGCTACAGCGGTGCAGCTGCGCTGATGTAGTGCTGTAATGTAGACTTGCCCTAACTCACTTAATGAATTATCCTACATGTGTCCTTCATTAGCATTGCACTCCATTCCTAAACAGCAAGAGTAGACTCTTCAAAAGTGCCTAGGGGATTAGATACATGGCTCCCATTGATTTTCAAGGGGAATTGAGTACAAAACTCCCTCAAACCCCAAATGCATCCCTTCTTTCTACTGCCTACAGATAGGAAGCAAAATTTAAAGTTTGATTTAAAGCCAGGCTCTAGTCCAGAGGTGGGCAAACTACAGCCCGCGGGACCGTCCTGCCCAGCCCCTGAGCTCCCAGCGGGGTAAGCTAGCTCCTGGCCCCTCCCCCGCAGCCTCACCTCGCCGCGTGCTCTGGCCCGCCGCTCCTGCTGGGCAGCGCGGGCGGTGTGGCTGGCTGCGAGCTTCTGCTGCTCTGAGCAGCATGGTAAGGGGGCAGGGAGCTGGTTAGGGGCAGGGGGTCCCCAGGGGCAGTCAGGGGACAGGGGGCGGTTGGATGGGGCGGAGGTTGTGGGGGGGGGAGTCAGGGGACGGGGGGGTTGAATAGGGGGTGGGGTCCTGGGGGATGGTTGGGGTGGGGGTCCCAGGAGGGGGTGGTTGGAGACAAGGAGCAGAGGAGGTTGGATGGGTTGGGGATCCTCGGGGGCGAGAAGTGGGAGGGGGCGGATAGGGGGCAGGGGCCAGGCTGTTTGGGGAGGCACAGGCTTCCCTACTCGGCCCTCCATACAGTTTCGCAACGCCGATGTGGCTATTGGGCCAAAAAGTTTGCCTACCCCTGATCTAATCAGTAACAAAGTGCATAGATTACTCTTCTTTGCAGGAAATGCTCATACATCAGTAACACATTAGCAGAGCCGTTCCTTGGGTAGAGCGAATCGGGGCGACTGCTCCGGGCCCCGCGCTTTGGGGGGGGCCCATGGGTCTCTGTGATTGGTCCGTGTGGTCGGTCCCAGAAGAGATGAATCGATGCACAGGCCCCGCAGCCCCCTGGTGATGGCCCTGAACATTAGTATGAATTGACTTACCTCAGCAACATCAGGAGAAGACAACTTTTGTTGAACATGCAACTCTGATGGAATATCGTTATCCTGTCTGTGCACAGATGACAACATTCTGTCTAATTCTGCAAAAAGATTAAAAGTTGAGATAAAAGCATCTATCTACATTGCCATCACTGTAACAAAAATAATAGAAAAGCAAGCTGGTAAAGGAAGGCACATTAGTTAAAGGATCACTGGTACCTCAGTTCAGTCAAATATAAAATCCAACAAAAAGCAGGATGAACACAACCTAGACCCACAACAAGAATGAGGTTTCCAAATGACCCTGAGTGAAATTACTGGCCAGAGTCAATACTTAGTAAACATGGGTTGCAAGGATATTTATTTAGCACTTATTGTTTACTTGGCCCCGACCACTCACACATTCATTGCACAAAAGTTAAATAACCCCCCAAAACGGAGGGCTACTGACTGTAACTGACATAAAAGGCAGGGAGGGAGGGAGGCCCGCCAGGGCAAAGCCTGGCCGCAAGATCCCCCACCCTGAGTGGGAGGGGACGGGAAAGGGGCAGGCACTACACCGGCCCTACAGGTCACCCCCAAGCAGCTTCCCTTGCCCCGGGCAGTGCCCAGGCACCTTCCCCCAGCGCTGCCCCGCCGGTACCGGCCACGACCCTGAGCCGCCAAGCAGAGCCGCGGGCCTTGCCACGCCCCGCCCAGCACTCCCCCGCCGGATTCCCCCGGAGACTTTACCAGCCTCCCTCCAGGGCCGTCCCGCTCCTTCTCCCCGGCGGGAAGAGGAGCCGCAGCCGCTTCCTTGGCAACCTGTTGCCGCCTGCCGCTTCCGCAGCGCGGCTCCCTTCCCTCGCCCGGCACTCAGGGGCGGAGCCCGCTGCCATGGGGGGCCGAGTGGTGCCGGGCGGCCGGGCACAGCTCCGCCCGCGGGGAGCCGCTCGGCCGGGCCAGGAGGCTGCTGGTGACCGGGAGAGCAGCGCCTTGGCCCCGCGGAGCCTGGTACCGAGCGCCCCGGCAGAGCCCGGCTTCGTCCTCCCCGAGTCCCCGTCACCCGCCGGGAGCAGGGCCCGTCACACACAGCTGCAGGCTAGGCCCCCCC